TCCTACAGACCCAAGAAACCGAAAAAAATCTACTATCTCCTCTATAGATTTACAATTTCTACCCATTGCCTAACAAAAAGAAAAACTAATGATGCTAAATTTCAAAGCCCCAATGAGAGATTCCTCCTAATCAAAGGATCTTCTTATGATAAATTTTTTTGTTGTATGCTTGAACTTAAGCATGTGATTGTTCTCTGCATTCAATAATTAAGTATATCTTGTAGGTGTTGGCCGGGTCAAAGGATAAAGAGGTAAGTCACTGTGTTCTTATTGTTTTGCCTAATTTCTTTATTGTATTTATAGACATTTTGATCCTTCAAATGAATTGGCAAATATTTTTTGAAATGAGAGTTGGCCTCTTAAATATTTGTTGTTGTGTTTAATCCAGTTACATTGCAACTGTTGAGGCGAGTTTGTAGTTCTAGCCTTGTAACAGTATACATTTGTCAATGGAAAAAACTATGATGAGGACTCTCTCACCGTGAGTCCTCGTTCGAATTGATAGTTTGCTTTGATGCCACACTGTTGATCCAATGGATGTGGTCATGATTTTTGAGTTCAACATGAGAGCACTATCACTATGGGCTTCCCTTTACCATTAGGTTGACAAAAAATATTATTATTATTTTATTCCCCCGGAAATTTTTAGGTGACAAATTGTAATGCACATATAGTGGACTTCTTGTATACGTGGAATTTCAATACCTTACATTTTGCCTTTTGTTCCTCTTAGGGTTGATTTCCTGTCGAAGAGATTAATCACTTTTCTGTTGAAACAATTTTCTTGTAGTTAAAAGATCTCATCTTTACTTCTGAAAGTTCTACTTACTGTGGTGATAGTAGTCACTTTAAATGCTGGCATGCTTGCATCCTATTTTGCTCCTTAAAGCTCGTTTCATTTTCAGAGTTCAATTTTTACTGATGACTGAGAATTTGAATGGGGTGTAAAAGAATGCCAGGAGACTTTGCAGGTATGCATTCAAGTTTATCATTACTTTGTGTTCATTAATTTGTTTTCCCTGAGTTTTATGGTCAGGGAATGTGAATCTTTGTGGATTGGTGAACTCTTCATGGAGTCTTTGGTTATATAAGAATGGGTATAAATTTATAAATTTGTACCAACTTTTGGCTTTGCCCAAATTGGATTTATCTTTATCATCAGACCAGACTTTTTAGCAGACAACTTTTCTCAAAAAATTTCATTAATTTGTTTGACATAAAAAATGTTTCCGATTTTTTTGAAATTTAAATTTCTCTTTCAAATATTTGTTATTTTAATTATTTGTATCCCTTTTTTTTTTGTTAAATCCATTATAAACTACTCATATTGCATGTTGTTTGCCCAAATCAAATTTTTGGTAGTATAGCCATTAATTTAGATTTGTGTGATTAATCCAACACTTTGTGTAGTACAGCCATTCTTAGATTTGTCTGAATAATCTAACCCACTGTTGGTACCATATTTCTCAGTAAATTCAATATCAATACCAACTTTTGGGCTGGGATCGTATGGACTTTGTGTTAAGGCTGACATGGGATCAGTGCATCTCCAACCCCCACTCTGCCATGAGCTGCTGTAGGGGTGCACACGGTCCAATTTGGTACGATTCCAGGTAAATTGAAACCAAACTGATTATGGTTAATTACTGTTTCATTTTAGTATCTTTGTATGGGTAATAATTATTTTAGATCTTGAAATCTTATCGGGTCTGCTGTACAAGGAATGCCGTTCTTTCAGGTTTGTGACCCGGGTGAAAAATTAATGAAAATAAGGAAACAAGTACATTGATGTAGGAAACAAAAATAAGCAAGCAGAGAACCCTAAAAAGATTAGAGCTGTAGAAGTTGCATAGTGAACTCTGACCTCTCTTTTAGTTAGTTTTACTTCGATTACAATATATAAACTATATATTTATGTAGTTTAAAACTTCCATTGTGAAAGATTGAATTCACTCATGATTCTTCCGAAGTCTTGGAGCATTTGGGCTTGATTTGAACTTTCTTTGGGAATGATTTAAGTCAGCTTCTTTAGGTTGAGTTGCTTGGTTTCAAGCCAAGTATTGAGAAGTCACTTGTAGTAGTTGGTGATATTTTGTATGATAATGCTCGCCAAGGTTATGGTCGGCTTGTTTCACTTGCTCGCCAATCTCCAGTTCCAGAATATCTGGCTCATCAACATGTTTGTAAGCTTAATGGGTCAAGCAAGGTTTGTTCAGGTTTGGTTCGTTTACTTAACAGGCTCAAAAATATAAATTCAATTATAATCGCACTTTGCTTACTAACTTGAACCTGAGCTGTTTGTAAATTGCTTGTAACATTGGCATCCGTACTTATAGGCTAAAGGACCCGTGCCATGTGCCACAGCATAATAGGATTAGCACCTCTAATTAGTGAAAAGACTATCTTCTAGCTATTGACATGATAGTAAATGAATTAGCTTGAATGATATTTCAATAGTTGTGCTATTCACCCTAATTATTTTGCCTTTCTTTCAAGAGTTGTGCTATTCACCCCTTCTAATTGTAATTATAAAAAAAAAAAAAATCACTCCTAATTGCAGCTCTAGTTTTTCACATTTATCTGAAACTTTATAGGATCTAGCTCGTATAGGAAGTTGCATTATAAATCTAATTGTTGTAGTCAACCAGAAAAGTAGTCGCATTATAATTCACTCTTGGAGCATTTGGGCTTGACATGTCTTTATGTTTGTGCTAAAAATATTGTGAACTATCCATTATTGCTCATCTTTTGATATCATTATATCTTTGTAGATCTTGTACGTTTTGCGGTATGAGACACTTTATATTATATGAATTAAGTTGTCAAGAGCATCTTCTTTATATTGAGTTATTGGGTTTCAAGCCAAGCATTGAGAAGTCACTAGTCGGTGATATTTTGGTATGTTACGAATGAATTTTCCGTTGATGCGATCTTGTTTTGCGGTATGAACCAATTTATATTATATGAATTAAGTTGTCAAAGAGCATCTTCTTTAGGTTGAGTTGTTGCGACTTAGAGATTTCAGAAGTTAGAATCTAGTTTGGTTATCCAGAAAGAACATAGAAGCATATATATTCTCTGCTTCTAGAAATAAGTTTCTCATTTTAATTTTTTTTAGTGATTTATTGTATAGTGTAATGGATGTACACATTCTGCTATATAATAATATTGCTGATGTTACACATTTTCATATATTGAATGTATCCTTTTTACAAATAAATAAATGCAATAAAATAATAACTATTTCTTATTATATCCCTCAAGATTTAAGTAAAGAAAGTGGGTGTTGATCATAATTTCACCCACCTCATTCTCTGTTTGTTTTTCTTGCATCAAGATTCATGTAAAGAAAGAATTTTCCCATTAAACTCTGTTACTGATTCAAATAAAGTGAGTGACAGTTATTCACATAGTGCTAATAATGAATTGGAGTCCAGATGGTATGAGCTCAAGAAAAATTAAATCCGAATCAACTTGAAGATAACAGAATGCATATGATGTCAAAACATCTTTTTGGTGGGTGCACTAACATTCACTATCTTAGTTTTATTATTTCAAGTATCATAGAAAATAGTATAAATTGTTTTATAGAAAAATATGAATTTGGAATTTTTGTATAAAATTTCATTGGTGAAAAGAGTGTTGTTGTCCTATATAGAGTAGTCCACTTAGATATGCATTTGTTTATCTATCTCTACCACTCCCATCCAATCTCAAATATACCTCAAAATCCCAATGCTGGCTAGAATTGTCGTTCAACCATTTAGGTCGAAATAGCAATTTTCTTATAAAACCATGCTTCTTGGGAGTAATAATCTTTATTTATTCTGGTAAGTAGTAGGGATCAATACCAACTCAAGAGTTTCAATAAATAAAAAATGTACACCTTGTGAGGACATGCCCTATATCCCAACAATAAAATCAAAACACCAAATTGTGTGGGGATCCAAATCCTTGTACATGTCTAGTAAACCTGTTGATTTTAAAAAAAATTTAGAAAAGGAATTCTAAATATTATAGTGGGACGATTGAAATAATAAAGTTGAAAAATATCCACAACTACAAGGTACTTACCACATTATGGTACGATTATTATGTACATAGTAATGCAATTTTGAGGTCAACTTCATAAAAGTTATGAATTCTTTTTTAAATCAGCACATTCTTAGTGGGTAGGTACACAAATTGTATCGTGACCAATATTAAAGTGATCTTAATGAGAATGTTAAAGTATGAGTGGTATGTGTGCTCTACAATAAATAAATTTTGGTACAAAATTTTAATTGAATAATACTCATAGATATTCGACAAGTTCTCTTTTAAGGTCATCTAGATCGAGGTCTATGCACTTGCGAACATTTTCATTTTGATGCTCGAATAACAACTGGCTAAGATTAAGGAAGATGTTTCACATTTCAACAAGGAAAAGTATTTGGAGGTTGAGAAAGAATTGGGGAATGCTTGGAAGGATGAAGAATTGTTTTCATATCATTACTGTATAAGGAGAATTCAAGTATTTCTTGCGTTGCTTTAGAAAATTTAAAAATTAATAAGGGCTTGTTTGGTTTGTAATTTTAAAAATAGTTCTCAAGAATTCACATAACAGGAAACTATTTTCAGATAAAGAAGACAGTTATTTAAAAATATACCTTTTCATAAATGAGTTTTCAAAAAATTGAGTTAACTTTAGTTTTTTTTGTACACTTTTTAATTTTTTAAAAATATAAAATTGTTTTCAGATTTAGAAACTAAATATACCCAAGAATTTGCCTTTGTGAATAAATGGAACTAACTGGATTTTCAAAGTAAATGGAAGTCAAGTGATTTGTAATCCTCTATAATTTGGTTTGTGTTAAAAGAGAAATAAATCAATAAATAAATAAATTAATAAAAATAAAATTCATTACAAGTAGCATATGGTCCACCTAATTATAGCATAGGCTTACTCTTACGTGGATAACATATATATACATGGGTTATTTACTCACTGGACTAAACCACGCACTTCGCATTTCTAGGGTTTATAGAGGAACTCCCTTCCTCTCCTTCCCTTTGCTCGCTTTCAAATATAGGATTTGCTTGCTTGAAGCAGCGATCGATTGGCATTACTGAGGGGAGTTGTAGATCCGAAGAAGAAAATGTCAGGCTACTTCTCATTCATACCTGGAGATGTGCTGAGCGACATCCTTACTAGACTACCCCTCAAAACCCTAATCCGATGCACATCTGTGTGCAAACCATGGCACACTCTCCTCACAAACCCTAGTTTCATAACCAAACACCTCAATCAATCTCGATTCAACAACAAGGAACTTCTACTAGTTCGAATCCACAGTGATTCTGATGATAAAGAGCATTACGCCCTACGTTACGACGATAACCACTTGTTCTCGGAGTATGCACAGCTTGAGTTCCCATTGAAGAGCAGCTCTTGCAACCATTATTTTAGGATAATCGGTTGCTGCAATGGCCTCATTTGCCTCTCAGACGATCAGTTCTCTTATACCAACAATCTCTTTCTCTGGAACCCTTTCATTCGAAAGACGATGCGGCTTCCACCAGTTCGTGTCACCGTTCAGACCCATGGTCTATTCAAGCATAGCATTGGGTTTGGCTTTGATTCCATCACCGATGATTACAAGGTCGTCCGGATTGTGCATCTCGAGAATCACAAGAAGCCACCGGAGATTGACATTTTCAGTCTAAGCACCGGCACTTGGCGCGACATCAGTCATGTGGCTCTTCCACATACCATCATCGATGAGAGGGCTCCCCAGGCATTTCTCAAAGGGGCTGCCCATTGGATTGCTTCCTCATCGGATGCCAAATTGATTGTGTCCTTCCACATGGGTTGTGAGGAATTTGGTCAAATTATGCTGCCTCATAATATCATGGCTCATGCCAATCAATTGCAGATTCTAGGTTTTCGTGTTGCTAAGTTCCAGGATTCACTCGCACTCATCCACCTTACTGGTGCTAAAGACAAACCTTGTTGCATATGGGTGATGAAAGAGTATGGTGTAGCGGAGTCTTGGACCAAACAATTCAATATTGACATGATTGGACCATTCAATAGTGTAGCTGGCTTCACAAGGAACGGGCAACTTGTTCTGGCAAGCAGTGCAGGGTACCTGCTAGCTCGTGATCCCCATGCCGGAAGTCTAATGCATTTTTTAATTCGTGGGTCTACACATCCAACGTATAGGCACTCATTTTATGCAGATGCTTACTCGAATAGCCTAGTTCTACTTGGAATGAGATTCTGTGATGCAGGCACTTCTGAGGAATCATCACCTGGGGATCGGTCTGTTGAAGGGAGCAGGGAAGCTATGAAAACTAAGAAAAGGCAAGATGCATTATGTCACTTATTTTTACATTTTATTTTTGCTATTTGCTAATTTCTGTTATTGCTTCTTATGAATGTGAACCTCTCTCATCATTACCTTAGCAGGCAGCATAAACTTAAAAGTTTTATGGTGAATTACTGTTTCATTTTATTTTTATTTTTTATAATTACAATTACTGTTTCATTTTAGTATCTTTGTAAGAGTAATAATTATTTTAGATTTTGATATCTTATTGTGTCTGATGTGTTATGCACGTGCATCAAAATGTTCAACCTCCTCTTCCTCTTCATGTTAAGGTATTTAATGAAAATAAATAAATAAATAACTAATGACAGGATAAGATAATAATATTATATATAATATAATATATTCTTTCTGATATTCAAATAGCTACAACTGCTAACTCATGTAACTTTAGTTTAGAAATTATAAATTAATTAAAATTCTTTAATTGTCTTACTCGATAGATATAAATGATTTTTTTATTGATATTAGTCTTGTCCAGGCTGTGTACGGATATTATTTTTCAGAGTTCGGCGTGCTTACGTATCCGTGTCGTATCGTTTCCATGTCCAAGTTTCTTAGATTGATTTAGTGTGATCACCATATAATGACACAGTTAACTCTTGAATCTTTGGTGATTCGCTGCATTGTGAGTTTGTGACAAATGGTTGTTGGATTCAAATAAGGTGAGTGAGGCAACTGGCAGTAGTTGGCTTTTTGGTGATTCATATAGGAAGTGCTAATACAGAATTGACAGAAAAATGAATAGGAATCAAACAGAAGAGTTTTCTTTTCTTTTCTTTTTTCAAATCAAGAGAAGATATATTGATAATAAAGTAGATTACACCATATCCGCATAAGCCAAATCAAACACAAACTCAGGAAATACCTTTCCAAACACCTCTTCACGCTTACAAATAGATCCTATCGCTGCAATCTCACGTGCCACCGAATTAGTTTCCCTGAAAATGAACTGTAATTTAAACTCCCCTTGGGAGATCAACAAGTTCTTATATCCATAACAACAGTAGCTGAAAGAAGAGGAGCCATAACAGCCCCATTAACTGACCTCACCAAAGCTTCTGCATCAGATCAAATATCAGCTTCTCAAATCCCCAATCAATAAATAAACAAGCAGCCTTTCTAAGGACCAGAGCTTCCGCCATATCTGCACCGGAGACACTTGACAAGAAAATATGAGCAGCCTTCACAAGGTGACCCAAATGATCTCGAGCTACAATCCCTCCACCTGCTTCCCCACTGCTCTTTGAGAATACGGCAGCTGAATTAACTTTTAATCCGCCCTTCTTGAGGATGATTTATATCCTAACTACAAGAAATATTAGAGAAGACCGTAGCATCTTGAAATTCCTGAAATTGAAACACAACTCGAGGCAATATCATATTCCAACCACTTCCCTTTGAAAACCCATGCATTACGGGCCTTCCAAATCTGCCAACAAAGCCAAGCTGCAATCCCTTTTAACTCTATGCTATTATCAAATTAATTCCAAAAATCCAAATGCTCCGACCAGCATTTGATCCAACAACTATGACCAACATCAGAATTCTCTACCTGAAGGAGAGATGCTTTCCACACACATGCAGAGCGAGGACGGCTGCACAACATGTGAGTGAAAGTTTCAGGTTCTAAACCACATACCTTGTACATCATATCTGGAACCGCTTGAATAAAATTTCCAGGAATGAATACGCTTCCACAAATCTTTTGGCTGACTTTAAAATTCCATGTCTCTTTCCACAAACTCTCTTTCTCATTTTTTACGCAATATTCTCCATCCCTGGAATGATGGACCGCTCCTTTCTATCTATTCAACTCCAAACACAAACTATAAGCTGACTTTACCGAGAATTCCCTTTCTTTTTTTCTTTTTTTTTTTTTCCTTCGTTTTTTTAAAAAAGGAAACATTGTTTATGAAGAGCCCCTATCAAACAAATAGGTATCTGAGAAATTCTCTGGACGTCTTCCAGAAGAAAAATAGTATTCAGCAGAGCTTCATTCCAACGCAAACTTTCTTGTTCAATAAGGTCAACTACTTGGTATACATCATTAAAAGATGGAGATATCACTTTGGGGTTAACCTTATCTGGAATCCAATTTTTTCCCAAACCATTGCTTGACGGCCATCAACTGTCCTCCAAACCAGCCCTCTCTCAAGGGTTTTCTGAGCAGCAAGGAAGCTATGCCACGCACATGATGATTTAGAACCTTCAAAAAAGAACTGTGAGGGAAGTAAATTTGAAGATCTTATAAAAAAGACCTTCCCGCTTGACTTGATGCCTCCAGTTCGGGAGTTTAAAACAACCGATTGTATACGCTGGAACTGCTTGCAAGACACTTTAATGAGAACTTCTCTACCTCTAGTAGATAAATAAGGTGCCTTCTACCCATTAATTTTAGGGTTAATTACAATGACACCCCCTAAAGTTTGCCTTATTGACAGTCAAGTGAAAGTTAACCCATTTTTGAACATTGACCACCCCTTAGGTTTGATAAAGTTAACAAAGGCACCCATCTGCCACATCTGATAGGGTGAATTAACAATATTGCCCTTTGACTTGGTAGTGGACTTGTTTGGATCATAGAATTACATTTTTAACCTTTATAATTCATTAATTAGACCAAACTACCCTTCTATGCAAAAAAAAAGAGCAAAAAATGTGGGTGAAATCTGCCTTCAAACCCTTGTATCACACCCACACCCACCACCATCACCACTCCACATCCCCACGACCACCCATATATACATTATCAAATCCAGCCTAATCACCATCCAAATCCACACAAGTACAAATAAAAATCCACATACATGTAAGAATAAATCTCATATATATATATATATATGCAAATCCCATATTGAAAGAGAATCACAGAGTCTCACAAATCTATATATATATACATATATATATAGATCTGCAATTCTAGAATTCTACAAATTGCTTGAATTTCCAACACGTTGAGAGAAGTTCATGGTTGGTTGGTTAACGTTAAGCTGGTGGTGAATTATTTGAGTTTCTGTGTTCTTGTGGTGGGAGTGGTTGAGTGGCGGTGGTTGAAGTGGTGGGGCGGTGGCGATTGATCAAGATGGTGTGGCCGGAAGAACGTGCACTCGGTATAAAACTAGTTTTGCAATGGAAAAATCATTGCAAAGCTTCTTCTGGGTCACTGGGGAAGAAGATGAAGCGCACAAGTGGGTGCAACCCCACGCGCGGCGACGGAGGGGTGCGTGAGCCCATTCCGGTGGCAATTGGGCCAGAAAAGGAGTGATCCAACCCCACGATACCATCCCCATCCCTTCGACGATGACACTCTGAGACTTACAGGGCCCAAATTCAACGCAATCTGGACTAATATAGAACTCCACATCATACCTTGTTGCTCGTCGATTACCCTCAAGGTGGCGATTTCACAGGGTGGCCGTCGTGGGAGGAGGTGGCAGTGGCCATGGTGGTGATGGTGTATAGGAGGTTGAGAGGTAGCGGCCGTGTTTTTTGGGGTAGTGGTGATTAGTGAGGGTGATGGCAGGTGCCCTAAAACGTGAAAAATAATGATGGGGGTATTTTGGTCACGTAAATATTCTGATATTTGGATTCAGAAATTATTATTCTATTGAAGGGCAATAACGTCTTTTTATACCTTTTTAGGGTCTGTTTGGCAGCAATTTTTGAGAAGGGGTGTGAGTGTTCAAAAAAAGGCCAACTATCATCTGTCTGTCAATAATGCAAACCTCAGGAGGTGTGGATGTAATTAACCCTTAATTTTATTATTGATCTTCTTCTCTATTTAATTCAATACCTCTGTCTTTGAACTCCCAATCAACACCGGAAGACCTAGATAAGTTTCCTGAGGATCTTCTCGAATTGCTACAAGCAAGTTCCTCAAACTATATCTGAATTCCATTGGAGAGACACTTGGAGCTCCCCTGCAGATTTTAATTCCTGAAATCTGACATGAGCAAAGCAAAAGAGAGATACTTCTAAAGAACTTCCGCACAACACAAGAATAGATAAGTGGAAAGGGGATCTCCCCTCCTAGAAGACCCTGCTAGGCTTGATCAATCCAAAAGGAGACCATTTAAAACAACTGAGATACTCACTGATGAAATACATGCTCGCATTATCTCAACACACTCCCTAGCAAAGCCCATCTTGGAAAGCACTGCCAACAGATAACCCCATTCAACTCCATCGTAGGCCTTGCTAATATCAAGCTTCATAGCCATATATGTATCCTCTCCATTCTTCCTTGTCTTCAAAAAATGCATAATTTCATGGGCCACAAGTATACCATCAAAAATCAACCGGCCTGGCACAAAAACACTCTGAGGTGTCCTTATGACCTTATTAAGCAGCAATTTAAATCTGTGAGCCAACGCCTTAGATTTTTCTTTTTTTTTTTGTAAACGACGTTACAAAGAGCGATTGGTCTGAACTGCAACACTTTTGTGGGACTCATAACTTTAGGGATCAACACCAGGTTTGTGTGATTTATACTTTTCAACAAGCTGCCTGAACACAAAAAGTTATTAAAAGCAAGGGTAATATCATCCTTCACAACCTCCTAATACTTCTGAAAAAATACTGAAGAAAACCCATAGGACCCTGGAGCTTTTAGAGGGTCCATCTGGAAAAGAGCAGTTTTTAATTCTAACTCCGAACCCTCCTGCATAAGCAATCTGTTATCTTCCTCTGACATGACAGTCGGAATATGCTGAATGAACAATCTGTTAACTTCGATAATATGTTTCACTTGTTGTTCATCATCAGTCCATAACCTTCAATACTTTTGAGACCCCAATCAAATTTCTCTTTCTTCTCTGCTGAACTTTAAGCACAAAAGAAGTTTGTATTTTTATCTCCTTCTCTGAGCCATTGTACCCTTGTCTTTTGCTTCCAAAACATTTCTTCATTCCTCCACAAGTGGCTGAGCTTGTTCTCCAAGGTTTGAACCTTTTCCGAGTCAAAAGTGGTAGCTTCCTTTAACCCATTTAATTGCTCCTCGGTTTCGTGAATCAGCTGTTTAGAATTCCAGTTCCAGCCTTTACTCCATTTTTCAAAGCATCCTTGCAACTGGAAATTCTTCTTTTGAGCTTATATACATAAAAGTCCCATTACAATTATTCTCCCAAGCTTGCTTGACTACCTCCTTACACTCCTAATTAGCAGTCCATCTAGCATCAAATTTGAAAGGTCTCAGCCCCTGTTTCCTCTTACCATCAGAATCCATTAGCAATGCCATATGGTCCTACCCCACTACTTGAATATGATGCAAAGATGATTTGTCAAATGACTGAAGCCACCCGTAGTTGCCAAAAGCTCTATGAAGCGGCTTTCTCATATTAGCTCCTCCTCGCTGATTATTCCAAGTAAAAGGATAACCACTAAAACCAAGCTTTTCCAACTGGCAATCCCAAATGAACTCATGATAAGATCGAAGAGTCCAAGCGGGACAATTTCTTCTGCCCTATTTCTCCCCATTAGAACGAAGATCATTAAAGTCACCAAGAAGCAAAAATTGAGTTTATATTCACCATTTCCCTCTTCAATTCTTCCCACTGTCGCTTACATTTACAATCCTCAGAAGAAGCATGAACCCCCAAGAAACACCACTGAGGCCCTTTCTCATCATCTTTAATATCTGCTGAAATAAAATACTCCACCGATTTCCGAATTTCCATATCCACTATAAAATACTCCACTGAGTTCTGAATTTCCATATCCACTTCATCTCTCCAAAACACCGTAGTGCCTCGAGCCAGGCCTGTGGGAGCCATGCTAAACATCTTACGAAAGCCAATTTGTCTTCCTATATTTTCCAGAACTCCTTCCTGATTATCTTTTTATTTTGCTATTTGGATAGTAAATTATTATTATTTTTTTGATAAGTAAAAATGTATTAGAAAGCAATCAAGAGGGGAATGCATCCTGCAGACAACCCAAAGGCCGAAGCCAAAAAGGAGTCTTTCAGACCCAATAGGAACCCTAAAAATATACTATCTCTATCGATTTACATTTTCTCCCTATCGCCCAACAAAAGGGAAAGCTAATGATGCTAAATTTCAAAGCCCCAATGGGAGATTCCTCCCCATCTAAGGATCTTCTGTTATAGTAAAAATTGTTGTTGTATGCTTGAACTTAAGCATCTGATTGTTCTCTGCACAATATTTAAATATATCTTGTGTTAGGTCAAAAGATAAAGAGTTAAGTCATTGTGTTCTTATTGTTCTGCCTAATTTCTTTCTTGTTTTTATAATCATCTTGATCCTTCAAATGAATTGGAAAATATATTTCTTGAAATAAGAGTTGGTCTCTTGAATATTCTTTAGAGCACTGTTGTGTTTAATCTAGTTGCATTGCTACTGCTGAGGCCAGTACGTAGTTCTCACCTTCTACCGGTACACATTTACCAATGAAAAAAGCTATGATGAAGACACTCTCATCTGAGTCCTCGATCTCATCCATTGGATCAAGTTTGCTTACTTGATCCAATGGATGTGACTTGTGAGTTTTATGCTGAGAGCACTATCATTACGGACTTCTCTTTACGATTAGGTGTGAAATTGTAATGCATACATGGTGGACTTTTTGTGTACATAGAATTTCATACCTTACATGTTACCTTTTGTTCCTCTTAGGGATGATTTCCTGTCAAAGGGGTTCAAGCTGGTGCTTTAAGCAACTCGAAGAGCAAAGGAGCAAGAAGGTGCAGATGTAGGGGTAATATATTTTGGTATTTTCTTTCACATCAATACTTTGTTGAGTAGGTCATTGTCTTTTGCTTTAACTTGATTATACAGACTTGTTTAACTTTATTGGTATTCTATCCTTTAGATGATGTGATAATCATAGAAACAGAGATAAGAGTATTTGATGCTACAGGGATGGGCTATTTGAGAAGATCCATTTTATACTTTACCCACTCTTATCATGTTGCTCCCCTTAAGTATCTGAGATGAAAATACGTGTTTCTTTCAGGGAGTCGGTATAGATGCTGAACTGATGGAGCAGAAATTGGGCATATTGGCAAGTTTGGTGATGGAAGGAAGGAAAGAAGATTAAAGATCTTGTCTTAGAATATGTGACATACTCTTTCTGTTAAAACAATTTTCTTGTAGTTAATACTTTGAATGCTGCTGGCATGCTTGCATCCTATTTTGCTCCTTAAACTTTCTTAATTATCTGTGTGTTTAATTTTCACTGATGATGACTTGAGAATTTGAATGAGGTGTAACAGAGTGGCCAGGAGACAAGTAATAGGTAATTTCTCTTGCAGGTATGCATTCAAGTTTATCATTACTTTGTGCCTCATTAATTTGTTTTTGCTAAGGGAATGCGATGGTCCTCTGTGGATTGGTGAATTCTTCATGGAGTCTTTGGTTAGTGATATTTGGGAAAAAAGATACAATGTGCCCGGTGCTTAAGAAGAGTAGTGATATTTGGGGGAAGAGATATACCGGGCACATCGTAGCCGTCTATGTGGATGGTTATGCACATTGTATATTTTCTCGATATTTGGACCGAACAGCTAGTCAGAATTCCGGACCGAATATACTTAATCGACTATTAATGCTAGAGATAAAGTAGTGGAGGGTTCCACTTTTTTATATTTGGTATACCAATTAAAACCATTTGGTACGCATTGCCCAAATTGGATTTATTTTATCATCAGACTTTTAGCATACAACTTTTCTCTAAAAATTTCATTAATTTGATTGACATAAAAATGTTCTAGGATTTTTTGAAATTTTAATCTCTCTTTCTAATGTTATTTTAACTATTTGTATCTCTCTTTTTTGTTAAATCAATTATAAACTACTTATACTGCATGTTGTTTGCTCAAATCAATATCTGGGTAGTACAGCCATTCTTAGATAATCTACTAAGAACCCACTGTTGAAACCATTTTCTCAGTAAATTTAACATCAATACCAACTTCCGGGCTAGGATATGTATGGACTTAAAGGTGCTAGGCCTGACAGTTCATCTCCAACCCTGCATCGCCATGAGTTGCTGCAGGGATGCACACGGTACCGTTTGGTATGATTTTAGACTTTAACGTCAATCAAAACAGAACCAATTACTGTATCATATCGTGTCTGTTGCATAACAAACTCTGACCCCTCTTTTAGTTAGTTTTACTTTGCTTACAATATATAAACTATATATTGATGTAGTTAAAAACTTCATTTGTGAAAGATGTTAATCATGCTATGGTGAAAATATTATGAATTATCCATCCTTGCTTATCTCTTGATGTAATTATATCTTTCTAGATTTTGTTTTGCCGTCTGACCCACCTTATATTATATGAACTAAGTTGTCAAGAGCAGCTTCTTTAGGTTTTGTTGTTGGGTTTCGAGCCAAACATTGAGCAGTCACTAATTTGTGATATTTTGTATGAAATCATAGCTAGTTTTCCCTTTGACTTGGGATGATACTTGCCATGGTTATGGTCATCGGCTTTTTTCATTTGCTAGTCAATCTCGAGTTCAAAGTTTGCCCAGGAATATTGTTCATCAACATGTTTGTAAACCTAATGGGTTAAGCAAGGATTGTTCGAGTTTGATTCTCTTACTTAACGAGCTCAAAAATGTTAATTAAATTATACTCAAACTTCAAAAACTAACACAGGCACGGACTTAAGCAAAGTTTGTTCGAGTTTCATTCGCCTACCTAATGTGGCTAATTCTTTTGACACTGATGAAACATGGCTTACAATGTGAAAAATTGATGAGAACTGCTGAGAGGATGATTTCTTTTTTTATTATTAGTTGTTGGATTTGCCTGTGCTGCATGAAAATTTTTACGGAGAAATTTGATACTTCCCTGAAGTGCTCGTGAAATAATTGTTGTGATTGAATACTTGCAATTGTTTCATATATATATATATATATATATATAAGGAATCCATGGATACATAAGCTTATCATTCAAAACCTACAATTGAAATTGTGAAATATATGAAAATTTGGTTTATATGCACTTAGTTGGATGTCCTCTTCACTTTTGTGCAAATTTGGTTTATCATGAGCTAGATAGATCTTTTTATTTAAAAAAAGCAAATTGTGAACTTTATTTTTTCAACATTGTCATCTATTTTTTCTTTGGAAAGTTCAGTACCATATTTTTTTCTCCCATCAACATTAACGCTCAATCTCCCTAAAATAGTAGGAGAACTTCTACTATTAAAACTAGCCCTATTTATTTCATAGACTAATTTTATTAATAATAACAATAATGATAATAACAATAAGGGTAGTTGTATTCATACTTAAAATATTTGAACTTAGAAGGATATGTTTAATTTGTTAGGTGATCGTACATGTGAGAGTTAATTATTAGAATAAATAACTGAATTCAAATAGAGTACGAGTTTACTTTTTAAACGAATTGAATTCACTTCGTGTAGTTTTCTAAATTCTAAATAAGTCATGTTTTTTTTTAAATAAAAAATTGTGACAAGTTCGATAGCTATAGTTCATCAGTAAAGAAAGCAATAAATTGCAATAAACATTATAAATTAATAAAATAATATATTTAATGACTTGGCAAATCGAGCTCAAACTGCTCTTTTATGTGTGTGTGTGTGTGTGTGTCACTGTGTGTGTAACTTGGAGCCCTGTCACGGTGGGAGTGGTGACCCAATTACCTGACTACGTCAGACGGTGAGAAATCAAAACATGCAGTGGAGCACAAGCAGCACGTGCCAAGAGGACTGATGAAATGGTAAAGTAGAGCGTGTGAATAAATGCACTTGAATAGGCCTCTTAAATGGTAGCAAATACATTTTTTGAGTTTGTTACTACTGAAGTTTCCAACTCCTACCTTAAAATAGGACCAACCAAAATAACAAACACCAAAGTGAGAGACAAAGATTCATGGAATTCAATTTGATTCTAACGGCTACATAGATTTTGAAGACCAATTGAGTGTATTAAACCCAGCCAAAGCATCCCGTGAAGCTAAGACACACCCCTTCAGCTCCTCATCTCTCTCTCTCTCTCTCTCTCTCACACACACACACACACACTCTTCAGCTCCTCATCTCTCAACAAAGGATCCTCGTGATGAAGAGCCCAAAACCCAGTTTTGAATTCACGAGAAATGCCTTCCAAAACCCAGTTTTTGAATTCTCTTCATCACCTTCAAATACCCCACAATTCTTCTGCGAAAACATGCATGAAAATCCGAGCACCATTCTCTTCACACTTCAATGGAAACCAACAAAACCCATCTCTTCTTTTCAATCCTTTCACTCTGCTTTGTTTCTCTCCATGCTCACAATCTCCAGACCTACATAATCCAACTCCACCCCAATGGAATAATCGGCTCCTCCTTCACTTCTAAACTTCAATGGCACCTTTCATTTCTTGAGAAAACCATTTCCTCCGAAGAAGACCCTTCCTCGCGCCTTCTGTATTCTTACCGTTCTGCAATGGAAGGTTTTGCAGCTTGTCTCTCTCAAACCGAGCTCGAGTACTTGCAGAAGCTACCCGAAGTTGTAGCAATCAGGCCGGACCGGCAGCTCCATATTCACACTACCTACTCTTACAAGTTCTTGGGACTAAGCCCCGCTAGAGAAGGTGCTTGGTATAAGTCGGGCTTTGGCCGAGGAGTGATAATTGGGGTGCTTGACACCGGAGTTTGGCCGGAGAGCCCAAGCTTCAATGACCGTGGGATGCCACAGGTTCCGAAGAAATGGAGAGGGATTTGCCAAGAAGGGCAAGACTTCAATTCTTCAAATTGTAACCGGAAACTCATTGGCGCCAGGTTTTTCACTAAAGGCCATAGTGTGGCCTCAATGTCATCGTCCTCTGATGATGTAGAGGAGTACGTGTCGCCGCGGGATTCCCACGGGCATGGGACCCACACATCGTCAACGGCTGGTGGAGCTCCGGTTCCAATGGCAAGTGTGCTTGGAAAAGGAGCCGGTGTGGCTCGAGGGATGGCCCCTAGTGCCCACATTGCCATGTACAAAGTCTGCTGGGTCAATGGCTGTTACAGCTCTGATATCGTAGCTGCAATGGATGTGGCAATCAGAGATGGAGTTGACATACTCTCCCTCTCAATAGGGGGCTTCCCGTTACCGCTATATGAGGACAGTATCGCCATTGGCAGTTTTCGAGCAATGGAGCACGGGATAGCAGTCATATGTGCAGCAGGAAATAATGGTCCGATGCAGAATTCAGTTGCCAATGAGTCTCCTTGGATTGCTACCATTGGCGCCAGTACGCTTGACAGGAGATTTCCAGCAATAGTTCGGCTGGGCAACGGAAAAATCCTATACGGTGAATCAATGTACCCGGGGCACCGAAAACTGAGAGCTCGGAAAGAGCTCGATGTGATTTATGTAACTGGCGGTAACAGGGGAAGTGAATTTTGCTTGAATGGGTCTCTTCCGAGAGCAAAAGTTCATGGCAAAATGGTGGTTTGTGACCGCGGCGTCAATGGAAGGGCAGAGAAAGGCCAAGTTGTGAAGGAAGCCGGCGGTGCTGCAATGATTTTAGCAAATACAGCGATAAATCTGGAGGAAGATTCTGTTGATGCACATGTCCTGCCAGCAACATTAATTGGCTTCGATGAATCAATTCAGTTGAAGAAGTATATAAACTCTACCAGGAGAGCAAGGGCGCGAATTGAATTCGGAGGAACTGTGATTGGGAGATCCAGAGCACCAGCAGTAGCTCAGTTCTCGTCAAGGGGGCCAAGTTTCATCAACCCGTCGATTATCAAACCAGACATCATTGCTCCAGGGGTCAATATCATTGCCGCCTGGCCTCAAAATCTAGGTCCCTCCGGCCTTCCGGAAGATTCTAGAAGAGGGAATTTCAGTGTCATGTCAGGAACTTCCATGGCTTGTCCCCATGCCAGTGGCATTGCTGCTCTAATACAGTCAGCTCACCCGAAATGGACCCCAGCTGCTATTAAATCTGCAATCATGACAACAGCAGATGTAACTGACCATTCAGGAAAGCCAATCATGGATGGAGACAAACCTGCCGGAGTTTTTGCGATCGGAGCCGGACATGTAAATCCAGCACGAGCCATTAATCCAGGATTGATTTACGACACGAGGCCAGATGAATACATCACTCATCTGTGCACTCTCGGATACACAAGGTCAGAAATCTTCACAATTACACACAGGAACGCGAGCTGCCATGAGATTTTGCAGATGAACAGGGGTTTCAGCCTCAATTACCCCTCAATTTCGGTCATTTTTAGGCGCGGGATGATCAGAAAGGTGATTGAAAGGAGGCTAACAAATGTGGGGAGCCCTAATTCCATTTACTCAGTGGAAGTGATGGCACCTGAGGGAGTTGAAGTAAGGGTTAAACCGCGGCGACTAATATTTAAACATTTAAATCAGAATTTGAGTTACAGAATTTGGTTTATATCAAGAGGAACAGAGAATGGGAGCTTTGCACAAGGGCATTTGACATGGGTACACTCGCGCAATAGTATGTATAGGGTTAGAAGCCCTTTGGCAGTGACATGGGCATCTAAGAAGTAAGAGTATAGTAATGGAAGTTGTAGTGATACTAGTAGCAGTTTCAGCTATAATTTCCTTTTTGTATTGAATTAAAGGAATAATGTTCACGAAGATTTGAGGAAAGTTTCTATTTTGAGTTCTGGAGGAGGAATTTCAGGCACAAATTGTTAAATTTAACCTTGTTTATCATCCGATAACGACAGAAGAATTCATAAATTTGCAGTCTCTTATACAAGGAGATCACATAAGAATGTCATTTTTAGTTAAATAGACTAAAAGCTAAAAGACTTGAAATTTCTTCCTCTATGCACTTTTCCCTTGGAGAGAAATTGAGAGAGTAAAGAGAGACCAAAAAATTGAGAGAGTAAAGAGAGACGAAGTAAAGGAGATGGTCTTATTTTGGATTGTGGGAGAGAGATTTATAGATGCTTCGTGAGATGAACGAGTAAATTTAAAAGACTAATAAAACTGAAAAAAAAAAAAAAAAATCAATTATGAATAGTTAAAACTTAAGGGATTTTTTAAAATTTTTTGAGAGGGAACACATTTACAATTTCAAAATAATATAAATACAAAATTAAAATAAAAAATTGTTGAGCCCTACCTGAATCCACCCTTGCATTCAGTTGGTACAACCATAAATTTGTAATGATTCATACTTCATCCAACAACACTACATCGTTTTTTTTTTTTTTTTAACTTTTGTTCAGATCATAAACAAATAAAGCCCTTGTGGAATTAGTTTAACAAAAGAAATCTATTGAGCCAAAATGGCAGCGGAAAAACTCTTATGAAAGTGCAAAAGTTCAAGAAATACACAGATTTCATAATCTAGATATGGGACGCATGAATATTTATAATAAAGTACAGACATGCAAATATGCACACAAAAACAGAAAACCCAACTTAAAAAAAAAAAGAAGGCAAAATCACCTCTTGAGTAACTAACTCACCAATCAGGATTGCATTCTTATTTTCATAAAAAGATGTTTTGAATGCATGAAATTATTTTTATATAAATATATTTAGACATGAATTTTTTACAAAAACAGATTGACTTGACTTATGTGCCGAAAGATCGAAGTTTTTCAGAAAAGTTTAATCAAAGTCCAAAATGCTAAGTAAGGCGAATCTGATAACTTACTTGTAATATCTTTCTCATATAGGGAATTTCCATTTAACCGGACAAAGTCTCATAGTTTTTCCATGTTTGGGTTTGCCACAAAAAAATTATGCCTTTTTGTATGGTTAATTGATTTATTAATATTTCTTCTATATACAGTAATTGATTCACATTGCTACATTTTAAGTATCATTGTTACGACTTTAGAACAAGTTAATGTTGGTTAACATCAGACGAGATATGTTCACCCCCTTCTAGATCTATTTAGGGCCTTGGGGTAACTCTATATTAGAGTCTGAGATTACGGTTATATATTCCTCAATTATAAATTGTTTATAAATGATTATTTTTTTTATACATTTTGAATATATGGATACAATAGAATATAAACAATTTTACAATTTGAGAAACTATAAAAAACTTGTATCTAACTAAGATGTTCTGGTCATGCAAAATGAAAATCAAATGTTTATATATATACATATATAATGAGGAGTAATTGCATTCGAGCGGAAGATCCCAAAAGGACGATGGAAATATTAGGCAGGTCAAAGTAGCGAGAAATGACGTGATTTCCTATGGTTAGATGAGTACATGAAGCAAGACAGAGTTATATAGCCAAGGGATTCATGATATAGAAATTTTGAAATACTTGCGTTTCTAGTAGAAATTTTCAATAAAATGTAACAATTCATACCATGTTGTGTTTCATTAAAAATCTTAACTTAGTGAAGACTCAAGAATTTCTTAACCTATACACCGAAGCACGTGTGCACGTAAATATTGAAATCAATGTAAGAAAGCAAATTTGATCAAACCATTTATCTATTTATTCGCCAAACTTTAATCTTAACATTTCACCTAACTAATAATCAAATTAATATATATTCAATAATAAACTATGAACAACCTTAACATCTTCCTAAATCCTAATACTTTACTTTGTGATGATATTGATAGCATGTGAGTCAGTTATAACAATTGAATATTCTGAATTTATATACTCATCAACAATCTAACGGAAAGATTCTTGTTGTTTATCAAGCAAATTCAAAGACCCAATTCACCCAAATTTTCTCTCACGTTTATTACGATCATTTAAAAATAAAAAAAAAAAACCTTTATCAAAAATCAAATTAATGAATCAATTTTTCCATATATAAGCATTAATTGAGTAACTGAGTAACATAGAATCACTCCCACACAAAAAAAAAAGAAAAAGTACCTGAAAGAGAGCGAGTTTGGTGCGACTTCAAGAGATTGCACTGTTGCGATTGTAGTGTAGGAAATAGTAGAAATAGAATGCAAAAGTTATATATATATGTGTGTGTGTGTGAGAGAGAGAGAGAGAGAGATTTCTGTGTCTTGTAGTGAATACGGGAAAATATATTTTATAGATTTTGGGTTGTAGATTTTGGTCCTTGTTGGACAGCTATGAGGGGTGCTGTTAAATATGGCCAGAGCTTGTATATTTTGGGTCCATGTTGCCCTATAGTCTGAATTTTGTTTCGGTTCAAGTCGCTTAACAATCTGATTCGATTAAAAAATGGATGAAAATTTTTTTTCACTGGCCTTTTTTTTTGTGAGTCGTGAATTCAATTATTTATAAAATTTTCTTTTAAACCTAATTTATAAAAAAATTTAGTGGGAGTATTTTTGAAATTTTATTTGAAACTATAGGTAAAAATGTAAATTGGAAAAAATTGTGTGGGGGTATTTTTGAAATTTAAATTGAAATATAGGTAATAATGTAAAATGGGAAAAATCCAGTGGGGGCATTTTTGAAATTCTAGTTGAAATTATAGGTAATAATCTAAATTTAAAATAAAAAAAAAATTGAGTGGGGCGTTTTTGAAATTTTAATTGAATTTTAATTAAAACTACAAATGATAATATAAATTGCAAAAAATCCAGTGGACCTGAATTGGGTCTGTGTCTAGATGGGATGTAGCACTACGTGGAACACAACTATAAATATAACCTTGTCATTTTGATGTCAATATATATATATAAATTGATGTCTTTATTCATTTTTATGACATTCAATAGTAAATTAGTGGGCGTGCGAGCATTGACATTCAATATGATTGTACTATATTCATTTTATTTGATTGTGATGAAATATAACAAGGCAATTAAGAATCACAGTGAAAAATAAAGTATTGTTGTTGAGTAAAATATGCCATCCACCACAACTATTTTATACATAATGAAAGTATTCCCAAAAAAAAAATAAAACATAGCCATCAACAACAATTGTCAGGAGCTGCGTCAGCTCTGCTCCAACCTTTTGACCAAAGAAGGAAAGAGAGCGTATCGAGTTAACACACGGTTTTTTTCGACAGATGTTGCTTTCATGAATGTGATCCAACTTACACGTTCTATGCACATTTTTATTTCAATTCTTATTATTTATGATTTAATTTAACTGATTTTGTGCTTTCGTTCACGAATTCACTTTTACTCTCGCTCGCGCTCTTTATGACTTAAGTCATGGATTCCAAACTTATATTTTTTTTTTTTGGTTAAATATTCCAAACTTATATTAGCTACACACTTATCAACACATGATCATATTAACCGAGTTCGTCCAAACAAAAACGGAGCTTTAAATTTGGCTGGAAAAGTAGCCTACATTGCAGATCATGTCACTTCCTTTATTTGAATTTCTGGTAGTGCAAACAGGCACGAACCCAATGTAGCATCCGCCCTCACTGAATTTTTTATATTTTTATTTTATATCCCCATATTTTTAGAATTTATGAAGATGCCACTAAAATTATAATTCGCCCTACTGAATTTATTTATTTATTTATATTTCAAATGTTTAATAATTTATGAAGATGCCCTTACTAAAATTACAATTCACCCCATTAATTTTTTTAATTTTTTTTATATTTTAAATTTTTAAATATTTATGAAGAAAATCCTATTAAAATTATAAAAATGGACACACCATATAAGTTTGTCGCCACAAATTAAAGACCGTCCTTCTTCATAAAATTTTCTGAGTCTGTCACTGAGTGCGAATGATCTATAAAAATTTCAACAACTTGTATTATTACATCAAATTGTATTCTTAATATATTATCCGTGAATTCTAAATTGAAAGTGATTTGGATAACTTTTCAATTAGATTAATTAAATTCAATCAGGTTGCATGTTCTCGTATCTTTTTGCATAAAGTTAAAAGAGAGATGAATTGAGACGACTGTATTATTTTATAAGTGTAAAGATAAAATAAAATAAAATTCTAATTATTATAAAATAATAGAAAATGACAACCATTCACAAATTCTTCTACAACCAATTTTCTTTATTAAAGACTTAATAAGCGTCCTTCCATGTTTTCAAATCAAATTCAAATTCATTTATTAAATTGATAGAATTGGAAGGAAAATAAAATAAAGAGAAAAAGAAAGATAGGAATAATAATTTTTATACTTGATTTGCTACTGAGGAAAAAATAATAATAATAATAAAGAAAGATTACCCTCCATATTTTTAATTTGCTAATTTTTTTTTTTTTTAAATGGAGAGAAAATATAACTTTCGTAATAATTAAAAAACATTTGAATGCATCTTAACATTAGTGTATAATAACTATTTAATTAAAATAATTTTTTTTTCCTTTCTATCCATGCCTTTTTCCCTTTTCTTTCGTTTCCCTCTAGTGATTCCTTTCTCCTCCAACCACTAAAATAAAAGAAACATTTTTATACGCGGAAAGTACACAGGTGTCACCAGGCCCCACCATCCGACTCATACTTGTACTTTTAGGCCCACCTTCACACACCCCTCTTTGAATTCCTCGCCTTTGCCTTTGCCTTTGCCTTTGCCTTTCCCTTTCTCACCTTCCATAGAGGGAGGGAGAGAAGAGACCATCCATCCAACGGTGACTGACTCAGTCACGAGACTATCATGTCCTAAGTTGACAGCCGGCCCTTACCCGCCGTCTCCATCTCTCTCTCTGTCTCTCTCTAAAACTCTCTTTCTCTCTCTAAAACAATCCAATTTCTTCCTTCCCTCTCACGCTCATTTTCCCGCAAAAATGGACCATATATAAATCAAACGTAAAGAACAATTAAATCCACCAACACCAACTTTCTCTCTCTCGACGTCTATTTCTCTCTCTAGAATTTTCCGTCTTCTCTCTAAATCCCCTGAACAAGAGCTTCAGCTCCATCTGTCTATCGTATATTGTCTTGTACTGAATCGCTGATTCGAATCGGAGGACGTTGGATTGTAGTGATCGTTGTTATCTTCGCCGCCGTTGTTTTCACCGGAGACGTGGCGTTTCTCCGATGGGAGGGATGAGAGTTGGAGACGAAGGAGGCATAGCGAGTAGGTTCTGGATCAAATTCAGTAAGGAATCGATTTTCGCTATCTACACTCCTTTTGTCCTTTCTTTGGCCTCTGGAGTCCTTGATTCCCAATCCTTTATCCATTGTATTTCTCAGGATGTCCATTTTCTTCAAGCTTTTGCTCAAGCGTTAGTACTCTCTCTCTATACATATATGCATACACACACATGGATTTTGTGTGTGTGTATATATATATACACACACACATATATTCTCTCCTGAATAGTGATTTGAGGTTTATCACACTTTATTTATTTATTTTTTGGGATTTCAGGTATGAATTGGCAGAAGATTGTGCAGATGATGACGAAGATAAGGCTGCAATTCGCAAGTTAAGGAAGCGTGTCTTGAAGAAGCTGAAAATGCACGACCTTCTTGTCCAAGTAAGCTCATTATTCACTCTCTGTTTATTTATTTATTTATATATTATTATTATTCTTATCTGAGGTAACCTATGGAATTAAGAAATTAGGAAAGAGATAGGTTTTCTTTAACCAAATTAAATGTGCATTTACAATTTTTTTTTTCTTTTCTAATTAGACATTAATGTGATGAGTTAGTCATCTTTTACAAAGAGGATTTACAGGTACTTGTTGTTAAGAGAAAATTGAATATTGAATTTAGGTGGATAATAAATTGTCCTTTAAGCAGTGAAATTAAAGGGTGAAGCAGATAACCTGTAATGTCTAGCATGCTATTGATCTAATTATTTATCTTTTCTAATTACATTAAATAATTCTAATTATATTGTGGGATAAGAGACCACTCTCTGTTTGCTTATGGGATCAATGAGAAATGCATTTCTGGAAATGGAACAAAGAAATACAATTTACCTATATTTATTTGTTAGATCTTGTTAGTCCCATAATTTGGCCAGACCAATACCGGATAATGATATTTTTTGTTTTATTTATAACCTACAGATAAGTAGACTTTATGTGTTCTAGTGTGAAACTATCATAAATTTTCGTAAAGAGTAACTATCATTATCGTAATGACAGTGATCTTTTTTTTTTCCTTCTTAATTGGTACTCACACACACATGCCTCCACCAGGGCTCGAACCCCTGACCTCCCTTTGGGAAGTAGGAGCTTGGTACCGCTAGGCCACTGGCTTGTTGGTAATGACAGTGATCTTAATTATCAATGTGGTTGTCATTGCTATTATGACAATTATACTACTTTCTCTTTTTTCCTTTTTTTGGGGCTGGTCAAACATGGTACATTTGCATAATTGTTAAAGGTGTGCCTAGGTTCTAGAAAAGCCCTAAGCTTGTCAAGGCTCAGCCAAAACACCTCAACCAGTTAGGCTCCCCACATAAGTCATAATCACATGTTTAGTAGGTTCCAGGTTAAAAGCTAAAAAAGCCTGCCTCTTATTTTTTTTAATCGTTCATTTATATCATTTTCTTTACTTTATTCAGATTACCATGAATTTTCTTACTCTAAACCTCATCATGGTCTTATTTGATGCATCATATTGTACATTTGACAGAATTCAGAGCTTATAATTGACTGCTCACATTAATTGCATCTGGTGCTTAATTCTAATTTTTTATGATAACATAATATGCGTTTTAATATCTGTACTAGTAATTTTTTTTTATCGTTGCACATTCTTAATCGTGTTTGATTTAGTTAATGTATATGCTCAACGAAAAGGTTTATGCACATTGATTTACTTGATCCTCTAAGTTTATATATCAAAATTTTAATTTATATAAACATTCCAGTTTTAAAAAAAAAAAAACATTTGATTAGTTTTGTTGCATATCTTGCCACATATACAATGATTTAATTGAATTCATATGCAAAGTGAAAACATATATGAATATTGATTACTTAATCCATTTAATTGTTATGCTGGAAAATTCTTTATTATCAGAAGCCAGAAAATAAATCTTATTTACCAATGAAAGAAAATTATTTATTTTGATATTGGCTAGTTTGTCTTCCATATTTAATATTTTTCTGTAATTAAATTTTTTTTTTTTAACACGCGCTGTACTTTTATCAGACTCGTGCCGCGCATTCTGCCTTGCACTTAGGCTTCAGGAGACCTGGGTCCCTTAGGGTGCATTGAGCCTTAAATAACCATGTTAGCTAGATAGGCTGCATGTAAACTTGGACAGAAAGAAGTGATGAAATGATCATGTCATTCACAAGAACCAATCTGAAAATAACTAGGTGGAAGTTGCATTGCCGATTTCAAAGTTTTTTTTGTCTCTGATATATGTAGAACACAAAACTATGTAAGTGGGGCATTCAGAATTGCAATAAAGTGGTTACAAAGCTATGTAGTGTTTGTATTGGTTGGTACAACCGTTGTAACGAATAATTTCTCATCCTTTACCTCATATGAAGAGATGCATTAACCGCATGATATTTCTATATACCTTTGAGAAGATCTCGTGAGTTGATTAAAGAGATCAAAGCGCACTTCTCTGGCATTGCTTACTTCCCATCTATTATAAAGGGCTGTGTCTTAGTTGTTATCAGCTTGTATATCTTTATGTAACTTAGAATTAGTCATTCGTTAACTTCAATCAATATGGAAGTTTCCATTTCCTCTCCTTTCATTTTCAGTTTTTCTCGGAGATTCTTTTTAGCATATATTCTGAATTATTTATTTTGCAGGAATGGGGCTTTGAACTTCCAGAAGAGTGTGTATGTGACAGTGCAACAGTCAAATACACAGATTTCTTACTGGCAACAGCATCGGGGAAAGTGGAAGGAGAAAAGTTCCCTGGTAAAATTGCAACTCCTTTTGAGAAGACAAAAGTTGCTGCATATATACTTGGTGCTATGGCACCTTGTTTGAGGCTGTATGTCTTTATTAGCAAGGAGATTCAGGCTCTTATAGATCCTGAAAGCAATCACATCTACAGGAAGTGGATTGACAGTTTTTCCTCTCAGAAGTTTGAGGTTTGTCTACGAGAAATGAATGTTTTCCTTGGTCTTCTTTAGAAATCTTTACTGATCAGCCTGGATTACTTATTTCAGTTATTGATGAAAAGATCTGTCGTACCTAACATTTCTCTAACTACTTGCTCATTATGGTTCTGAATTTAGGAGTCAGCTATGCAGATTGAAGACTTGCTGGATAAGTTGAGTATTTCTTTGACTGGTGAAGAGCTGGAAGTCATAGAAAGGCTCTATCATCAAGCGACGAAACTTGGAGTATCTTTCTTTTCTGCTCAACCAATTGTCCAGCAAACAATAGTCCCCTTTTCTCGAGTGCATGACCATGCAGAATACAATCTTACCATATTTTGTGATTTTGACAAGACATGCACATCTGTGGATTCATCTGCCCTTCTGGCGGAGATTGCAATCAGAACAGCCCCAAAAGCCGATGTCAGTGGAGGTGAAACCCAACTTGCTCGGATGTCATCGGCTGATCTGCGGAGCACAATCTCCATTCTTTCTGGCCAGTATATGGAAGAATATGAACAATGCATGGAAAACATCATGCCTAGTGAAACAGGTATGATAAGTTGGTTCTCTTCTTGATTGATGTGCCTTCTTAGTTTGATAATAGTATGGCAAGAACTTGGTGTTACCGAATGAGAATTTCATATGAAAATTGGTTCCAATGTCCTGTGTTCTTGCAGCTGGAGAATTTGACTATGGTGGTTTATGTAAAGCACTTGAGCAAATTTCCTGTTTTGAGAAAAGGGCAAATTCAAGAGTGATCCAGTCTGGTGTGCTGAAAGGTTTAAATTTAGAGGACATAAAATGGGCTGGCGAACACCTCATACTTCAAGATGGTTGTAGAGAGTTCTTTCAAGAGGGTATAAAAAATGAAAATATGAAAGCAGATGTTCACGTACTCTCATACTGCTGGTGTGGTGATCTCATTAGGTCTGCTTTTTCATCAGGTACAAATACTGATGTGCATTTTTTCTGCACAATATATATTTCTCTTGATGTTTTAACACCAACTTTGACCTCCTGCAGTTGTGAGATCAATTAAACACTGTTAGATGGTCAGAGTATTTTGATGATCTCATTTCCAATGGTGGTGATAGTTTACTTTGTTTTACCATTAAAATATGACCTTACAAGTTCGAATTTGGTAGTGCCATCAAATTATCCAAAACGAGTAACAATAAATAGGGTAGTTGTTCAACGATTCATCTAATCCTTATCCATCTTATTTGCAAATACTTATCATCAATAAATCCGAATTGCCTGTACCTTCTGTTAATGAATAAGATTTTTTGTTTATTTATTTTATTTATTTGTTTCATAGATGGTTAGAGTTTCATTTCCTGTTCCATTTGAGCAGGTGATCTAAATACTCTGACCGTACATTCAAATGAGTTAGCTTATGAAGAATTCACTACCACCGGTGGAATCATTACGAAGATGGAGTCTCCCCTGGAGAAGCTTCAAGCCTTCAATGACATCCTAAAGGGCGGCAGCAAAGAAGGTGAGAACTTGACCATTTACATTGGAGGCTCGGTGGGTGACTTACTTTGCCTGCTCGAAGCAGATGTAGGCATTGTGATAGGTCCAAGCTCCTCCAACCTAAGGAGACTGGGAAATCAGTTCGGTATTTCTTTTGTCCCCTTGTTCTCTGGTTTGGTTAAGAAACAGAGAGAACTATCCGAAGGCGGCCCTTCAAATTGGAAGGGGCTGTCAGGCATCCTTTACACGGTGTCGAGTTGGGCTGAAATACATGCTTTCGTTTTTGGGTCATAGAAACCTCTCTCACACACACCCACACCGTGCGCACACACGCACTAGTTGGAAAAGTCTACAAAAAAATGTACAGTAGGATATATTGATATAAATGGTGGTTAATTTTACTTAAGACCACAATTGCCATTCAGAGATAAGTAAGTCCTGTATACTCTGGGTGAGATGTGCTAGAATAGTTTACTCAAACAATCTAATACTCTTTTTGGATAGATCTTGGGATGTCATTGGATTTTTTTGTTTGTATTGAGAGTGGCATTATTACAAAATGTCAAGGATTATTTTGATATGGCTTCTGAGCCTCTTGGAATTATAATTGCCTTGTAATATTGAAATTGGTGAAAGTGTAGATAGAAATTTGCCATTTCTTGTGTGATTGAAATGGTATTATGACTTTTACAATTTATATTCTTTGTTCGGTCTGAAGACAACGTAAACATTTGGATAATAAGGGCTGATGTTGTCGTGGTGTCATTAATATTCCTGATGTTAGCATCTACTCGTACAAAATTAGTCGGATTTGACCGATCCCTATCATTGCTCTAAATATTTATGTATGGTATGGTATGTTTGGATTGTTGCTTGTGAGCTTGATGGAAATTTGCCATTTCTTGTGTGATTGAATGAAAGGGTATTATGACTTTTATAATTTGTATTCTTTGTTGTTCTAAAGACAATGTCAGGACTGACGTCGTTATGATGTCATTAATATTCCTGTTAGCATCTACTTTCGTATAAAATTAGTGGGATCCCCATCATTGCTCTAAACGTTTATGTATGCTATGGTATATATGGATTGTTGCTTATGCGCGTGATGGATATGGTGTTTTTCATTGTCAATGGAGGATCCAAAACAAAAAAGGGCTTTTGGAAAGTGGAAAGCACTTGTGTTTACAAAGTTGTTCCATTTTTTTTACTTTATTCATCATTATATACATGAACAGGTGAGATCCATTCATGTGTTAAGAACTTTCTTGAATAAGCAACGGTGACTGGACTGAACTTTTGACATCTAACTCGATTACAAAGATTAAATTAATAAAAGGGTGTGTGTGCATAGACCTTCCTCCATGAGTGGTTCGGAGGGAAGGGAATGGCACTAAAACTTCCTCTCTTTTCTTTTCTTGGTTAGTTAATAATATTTTTTCCTTTTCCTCTACTTTTCTTTGTGTGTGTGTGTGTGTTTTGTTCTTTTTTCTTTTTCTTTTTAATTATCTATGCACTATAAGTTTCTGTTATAGGCAATAAAGTTGAAGTTGTGATCCTGAATTCCTGATAAACATTATTGAGATCGTTTGAAAATTACACATCAATTAATACTTTGAAGGATCATTGTGTGTCAGAGTTGGGTTTAAATCATCTCTAGTAACTTGTATTTCACCTGCATTAAAAAGGGCTAAGATCAATCCGTCAACTGGTGAGACTCATTTCTGAATTAATCATATTTTATCACATAATACAAGTGTACTAAAGATGAAGCGGGTTTTTGTAGGATAATATGTTATTTTATTTTTGAAAAAAAATGAATTGAGTGCAAAATGTTCCTCCTTTTTATTTATTTATTTTTATTTAACGAAAAAATAAAGGCAGAGTTTTAAATAGTGCAAGGGGTTATTTGTCAAATTGAAAGCCTAGGAGGTTATTTGCAAATGTGGGGAAGTTTATTATTATTATTATTATTATTATTTGCATTTTATCCGAAAAGTTATCTATTTTGAGTGAAGCTAGTAGAAAAATCAAGGGCTTTTCTATATTTCTTCTTCCCTGGTGGTTTTTAGGTTTTCTTTAAAGGACACAATTGAAGGTTTTGAGCATTATTTCTGAAAATGACTAATTTTTATTTTTCCAAATATTCCATTTTAGATGAAAATGTTGTATATTAAAAACCTGTATCCGTTCTTTACCTCCAAAATGAAATGTCGAGGACTCAAATTCCTATGTAAACAAAGTATTTATGTGCATTATTTGTCAAAATAAAAAAATTATATTATAAAGCAAACGTGTCAAACATATATATAAGTTATGTCCTTATGATTTGACTTTGCATTCACAAATTTGAGATATTAATTTTTAATGAGCCCTACATCAAATGTTGAGGATTCAAATTTCTATGAAAACAAAGTATGTATGTGCATTATTTGTCAAAATAAAGAAAATAATATTACTACGTATAAAGCAAACGATTCAAAGTTATAAAAAACATATATATATATATATATATATAAGGAGATACCCAAATAGGAACATTGTACATTGGTTATCTTGAAGCATTGGGCCCAACTCAGGTTGGACTGGGCCAAGATAAGAAAGTACTCTAGTTCTCAATCAAGTTTTTTTGATGTAGGGCTCATTAAAAATTAAAATCAATAAAAATTGTGAATCTGGAAAGAGCAAAGTCAAATCATAAGGTCATAACTTAATAATATCTCTTTTATTTTTTAAAAATAAAAAATAGAAACAAGTGTTTCAGGATTCAATCTAAAAATTTTAAATCATTAATTGATACTAAAACTTAATCCAAATATACTGAATTATTTTTTTATTTGGATTTGATATGGGACAAGACTCTTTTTAATATCAACTTTGAACACTAATCTTTAAAGATAAAGACTCAAATTCATTTATTTTTTACCTTGATAAAAAATACATTCACACTTCAAATTTTCTTTAAAGAGTAGAAATATTATTAAACTCCCTCAATAAAAATTAAGCCATAATAAAACTTGGAATTTTTTGTTTCTTTCAAAAAAAAAATGTGGGCCCATGAAGATAAAGGTCCCACAATTCATCCATGTGCCACATGTGCAATCATCAAAACTTTGATCTCTTTTCTCTCAGCATAGCATAAAGCATGTGGAGGCACGTAAGCCTCCACTCCTCTCTCTCCCCATGTATATATGCTAAACTTGTTTATATAGTCACTATAATTTCAAGCTCTTAATAATTTCTATATACACACATACATATAATATATATATAACTCCTCAGTCTTCGTTCACTCAGAATTATATATATATATAACTCCTCAGTCTTCGTTCACTCGGAATATTTCATTCTATAACAAAAACTTAAAAACTCTCTCTCTAATAATAGGGAGGGAGACCCTTACTATTCTTCCTTAGGAAGGTGCGATTTCACATGGTCTCCATGCACTTTGGTAGCACATAGTGACACACCACACTTTTTTGTTTTTTTTAAAAGCCTGTCCACATGTATGCATGTGCAATTGGGCGGTTTATTCTGTTAAAAAAAGAAAAAAAAAAAAAGAGGAGGATATATATATTAAAAAAAAGAGGAATGGGGGTTTATGGATCAGACCATGATTGATAGTGTTCATCACTTTCCGCCATTTCCTTGTGTTTTCCTCTATTCAATTTTATACTTAGTTATTTTGTATTTTTTTTGGCCACACCATGTGTTTTTTCTTTTTTTCTTCCTATAGATGATCCTCAAGATATAAGGGCAATTTCGTCCAAATATTTATGGCCAATTTAGTATCATTTTCATTTCAATTTTTTTATTTTTTAAATTTTGCGATGAAATTTTTGAAAATCAAATTGATTAATTAGTTTCTAGCGGACGTGAATTTCTGAAAAAAATTGAAAATAACCTCTCTATCTTCCTCATAGAAAGAATTCCAGCTCTAACGTGGGCAAATTGGTAATGTGTGTGAATACTTAATCCCTTAAAAAAATAAAAACAGAAGTGTTTTTAAAAGAGTTTTTATCAAAAATTTTGAAACCACTTTTTTTTTGGATTTTCAAAAGTTTAAAAAACAAAATGAAGTTTTAGACTATACAAACAAACCCTTCTCATTTTGGATTGAGGTTCTCTTTAATTGAGTTGATCTTGTTTGTTTTCTTTCTGATGTCTTGTTTACGTGCAACATGGAAAGATTCTCTTTTTTTTCCAATCAATCATCTTGAATAGATTACTGATCTTCCAATAATTTTTTTATTATTATTATTTTAAATCTTTTAGGGAGGCTTTGGTGATTAACTAACCTATTTGGTTTGTATATAATTAACTAGTAACAAGTATGTAATTGCTTTGATAAGGTGCTTTTAGAATTTCTTAATTAATCAATGAGATCTACAATTTCTTAATTACCCATAGCTTGATGGAGCTAAGAAAGTGAGAGGAAACAAAGGCTTGACTTTGTAAGATTTGACGAATTAATCCCATTTTCATTTAAGATTCCGGCTGATTTTGTCAGTGTTAAGAAGTTGGTATTTTTCTATACAAAGTGACTAATCTAGGATTTTGATAATTCGTTATCAATTTATCAATCTAACTTTACCATTGTACCAAGTGAGTCAAGACTTCCTTTTCTCACATTTGAGGTGGGGGTTTGAAATTTTTTGTTTTCTTCCTAGCAACAACACCAAAGAAAAGAGACTAACATCCACGACTGGCATCTTGCTCAATTAGTCTATCGATTGCAGGAGGAATCAAAAGAAGAGCCAAATTTGGCTGCATTTCATCTCTTGAGAGTTCTGCAAGTGCATGGACTACCCGATTACCATTACTTCGAACATGTGAAAATGAAACCCATGAAGTGGTCCATTCTACCCTTGATCTTTTTGCATTATTATTTGATAAATGGTCCTTAACCATGAGCATTGAGTTGCCTTGACTTATAATACATGAATGTTTTGTCATTCTTAGAAGTTACCCTTTACAGTAAGAAATCTAGGAAAGTTCAAATATGAAATATATCATTCAAGTATGCAACTTTTGGGCTTCACATCACGTACACAGCATCAAAGGACCTTTTAGCAATAATCTAACAAACCTACTACGTAAAATGCTTTTCATTGAAAGCATAAATTCACTACCAAACACTTTAGAACATTATTAATTTGTAAAGTCCAAAACGCATTTGTAATAGACATTCATTGAAACATAGATGCAACATTTACCCAATAAATCAACTCCTCCATCTCAATTCCAGTCAACTAGTTACATTTTCTAAATACTCCAAGAAATTTTTGTCTAATATTTTTTCATGTAAAATTTGTAACTACAAACACCAGGAATCAAGAATAAATCAACAAATTATCAAAACAATAAACATGCACCACATACATAACATAAAAACTTATATGATTTAGTAAAAAGTTTATGTCCACGGTGAAAATCAGATAAAAATTTTGTTATATATACAATTAAAAAGCCTATCTCAAATGGCTTTCAGTATTCTCTCATATCACACTCCAAACCCTACACAATCTTGTATACTGGACTATAAGAGAGTCTACAACCCGAATTCACGTCCCACGTAAAACCTATTTTCCAAAGCACAACAAAATTCAAACCACAACTTCACAGTTCTTCATATTCCAGCAGTACAAATGTGATTGATTAATTGAAATTTGACCAGTTTGAGGGTATGTATGGTACATTGATCCCAATGACTTACTGCAACAACAGATATATATATATATATTCTTATACCATTCAATCTTGCTAGCTATAATCAATATAATAATAGAACTATCACTTGAAAAATGAAATGAAAGCAAACAAACAAGAATTTGATCATTATTGCTTACTTCACAGTTGACTATCTATAACAGAGGAAGAAGAAAGAAGAAAAAATGTATCATTATTTACAACACATTCTCACCATGTTTAATGTCGGAGTGACTTTCAATAAGTCCAAACTTTTCGGTCACTACTTGCATATTAACAGCTGTTGCAGAACCCAAGATCTCACGAGCTCTCCAAAAAAAAAAAAAAAAATTAATCCCCATTAAATAATATAATGTACTTAAAATCACAATTAATTGCTAATCAACCAATCTTCTCTCCAATACTTCACATATAACACACACACACTTTCTCATCACTCTCTCTCCTACCCACTGTTTCGAGACCGAAAATGGTCGAAAATTGAGTGTTTGAACCAAGGGAACTCAAGAAGAACAATATGAAGTACTTCCAAGACCTCTTCTTCTTCTTCTTCTTCTTCTTCTACTGTTACATTGGTTGCCTCTCTGAAGTGGTAGAGAAAGCTGTTTTCACCAACGAAGCATCGATTTTGCTATCGATAAAAGCGAGTCTGATTGATCCATTAGGCCAGCTTCAAAATTGGAAAGTGCCCAACAATGGGGTTGGTAACATTTCAGTTCATTGTAATTGGACTGGAGTGTGGTGCAACTCCAATGGTGATGTTTCGAAGCTTGATCTCTCCCACATGAATCTTAGTGGGGTTGTGTCAAGTGACATTCAAAGGCTACAAAGTCTCACTTCTCTCAATTTATGCTGCAATGTGTTCTCATCGCCATTGCCAAAATCTCTGTCCAATCTCACTGCACTGAGAGCCATTGATGTGAGCCAAAATTTATTCATTGAGAGCTTCCCGGTGGGGCTTGGAAGGGCGGTTGCCCTCACGAGGCTGAATGCCTCGAGCAACAACTTCTCGGGCTATCTTCCTGAGGATTTGGGGAATGCAACTTTGCTTGAGAGCCTAGATCTCAGAGGGAACTTCTTTGAAGGTTCAATTCCCAAGTCTTTCGGGAACTTGGGGAAGTTGAAGTTTCTTGGCCTTTCCGGGAACAATCTGACAGGCCAAATACCTCCAGAGCTAGGCCGGCTTGCAGCATTAGAGAGTATGGTTCTTGGGTACAATGAGTTTGAAGGCAAAATCCCAAGTACATTTGGAAATCTCACGAGTCTCAAGTACCTAGACTTGGCATTTGGCAATCTTGGTGGCTCAATTCCAGCTGAATTGGGGAGACTGAAGGTACTAAGTACAGTTTTCTTGTATAAGAACAATTTTGAAGGCAAGATTCCTCCAGAAATCGGCAACATTACTTCGTTAGAGATGCTGGATCTCTCAGATAATCTGTTGTCAGGAGAGATTCCAGCTGAGATATCTCAGTTGAAGAATTTGCAGCTCCTGAATCTGATGTGCAACCACCTGTCCGGTTCAGTTCCTCGTGAACTTGGACAGTTGACACAACTAGAGGTGTTTGAGCTGTGGAACAATTCCTTGTCAGGTCCTTTGCCGAGTGATCTTGGCCAGAATTCATCGTTGCAGTGGTTGGACTTATCGTCCAATTCATTCTCTTGTGAAATCCCGGCCAGCTTGTGCAGTGGAGGGAATCTCACTAAGCTCATCCTATTCAACAATGCTTTCTCTGGTTCTATTCCTACTGGTTTATCAAAATGTATGTCGCTGGTTCGTGTTCGGCTTCAAAACAATCTTCTTTCTGGGACAATCCCAGTAGGGTTTGGCAAACTTGGGAAGCTTCAGAGGCTGGAATTGGCAAACAATAACCTCACTGGCCAAATCCCAGATGACATTTCTTCTTCTACATCACTTTCTTTCATTGATCTCTCCGGAAATCGCCTCCAATCTTCTCTCCCTTCCTCCATTTTGTCCATTCCCAATCTGCAAAGCTTTATGGCCTCAAACAATAACTTGGAAGGCGAAATCCCAGATCAGTTCCAGGACTGTCCCTCACTTTCTGTGCTTGATCTCTCATCAAACCATTTCACTGGAAGCATTCCAGCAAGCATTGCTTCCTGTGAAAAATTGGTAAAATTGAATCTTCGAAACAACCAATTGACCGGGCCAATCCCAGAAGCGATTGCAATGATGCCCACCTTAGCCATTCTTGATCTATCCAACAATTCTCTAACCGGTGGGATAGCAGCAAATTTTGGCGACTCTCCGGCCTTAGAAATGCTTAATGTCTCTTACAACAAGCTGGAGGGACCTGTGCCTGCAAATGGTATTCTCAGAACAATAAATCCAGATGATCTCGTGGGCAATGCCGGTCTTTGTGGTGGCATGCTCCCTCCATGCTCTCAAAATGCAGCATATGCGTCGAAGCATAGGGGCTTGCATGCAAAACACGTCATTGCTGGTTGGTTCATCGGCATTTCATCACTGTTGGTTATTGTAATCACAGTTTTTGCAGCCTGGTCTCTATACAAAAGATGGTATGCAATTGGAAGTTGCTATGGAGACAGATTTGAAATGGGCAAAGGAGAGTTTCCTTGGAGACTAATGGCATTCCAGAGGCTTGGATTTACGAGCAGTGACATTCTAGCCTCCATCAAGGAATCGAATGTGATTGGAATGGGAGCGACAGGGATTGTTTATAAGGCCGATATGCAGAGATCCAACACGGTTGTAGCTGTCAAGAAGCTGTGGAGAGCAGGGACAGATGTCGAAATGGGAAGCAGCAGCGATGATCTTGTTGGGGAGGTGGACCTCTTGGGGAGGTTAAGGCATCGGAACATTGTACGGCTACTGGGATTTCTTCATAACAATACCGACGCAATGATACTTTACGAGTATATGCAGAATGGGAGCCTGGGAGAAGCTTTACATGGCAAACAAGCAGGGAGGTTGCTGGTAGACTGGGTGTCGCGGTACAACATAGCAGTTGGAGTCGCTCAAGGGCTAGCGTACCTCCACCATGATTGTCACCCTCCTGTCATCCACCGCGATGTCAAACCAAACAACATCCTGCTTGATGCAAACCTTGAGGCAAGGATTGCTGATTTCGGGTTGGCAAGGATGATGATTAAGAAGAATGAGACAGTTTCAAAGGTTGCTGGATCCTATGGATACATAGCCCCTGGTGAGTTACTAGCTTTTTGATCAATCTACCATCATTCTATCAATGTTCTGTTTTTAACTGAAGAAACACTAATCAATTTGTTAGATAATTTAGTCTGTTAAAAACTAAAAAGTATAGATTCAACAAATGCAGCAAATGCAGAGGAATAATTCAGCATTCTATTCAATAGATCAACTTTTCAAAATCTGAATTTCTTGCTGATTCTAAATTACGAAACAGATTAGATCTAGTTGAAGACGGATTTGACTAATAACTAATGATTTAATGATATCTTGGCAGAATACGGATACACTTTGAAGGTCGACGAGAAGAGTGATATCTACAGCTATGGAGTTGTCCTGATGGAGCTTCTCACCGGAAAACGGCCACTAGACCCCGAGTTCGGAGAGTCTGTTGAGATTGTTGAATGGATTAGAAGAAAGATTCAATATAACAAGGCATTAGAGGAAGCACTAGATCCCAGTGTAGGAAATTGCAGATATGTTCAAGAAGAGATGCTCTTGGTACTGCAGATAGCTATGCTCTGTACAGCCAAACTCCCCAAGGACAGACCTTCAATGAGGGATGTTATAACAATGCTTCAAGAGGCAAAGCCTCGAAGAAAAAGCAGTAGCAACAATGTCACAGACATTACTAACAAAGATCAGCCAATCTTTAGCACATCACCTCTAAATGGCCTTCTATAAGAACAAAACCAAAAGTTTCTTCAAGGCCGCACCATCATTTTGTTTAATTCTTCTGTTGTATGTAATAGCTTATTTGTTATATTTGTAATCATTGTCCGAGTTGGTTGTGTCAATATTTTAGAGGGTACATGGATTCCTCTTGCAAATAATGTTTCATCTTTTTGTGCTAAAAAGCAAAGATATCAATTTAGGAATACACACTAGAACCTCATCACAAAAAGCAAGTATAATCACACAATTTCAGCTCTCATCACTTTTCCATGTCATAACTTCCAGAAGAATGGCAGTTGTACAACAAAAGCAACGAACTAAGAACCAATCAAAAAATCGACAAAAAAGCAAACATAACCACACAAAGAACAGCAAACATAACCACACAAAGAACATTAACATTTACATAGTTTAACGTAAAACCTATGTCCACCACGTGATTTGCCGTATCGGCCGGTTCGTAACCCTTTTTCAAGGGTCTGATACCGCACACACCTCCATGAACTGACTGGTTCGGCCGGTTTATACCGATATTCGCCCGAATCTATTACACCGCGACCGATACCGCAACTGCGAACCATGGTCCACAATAAAAATCCAATGAAAGATTTCACATAGAAATTAGTGCTCTCCCCTTCCACACTCGAACCCTTAAACAATCTTATATACGGGATTACAAAAGAGTCCTAAAACTGGTTCCACACCAAGCACCAGAAAAATAGGTCAAATAATTTCACACAACCCCGTTTTCGGGTCAACTTCATAATAGTTTGTACCATCCATCTGTCCAATTTATTGGTTTTAAATAATCATGACACCATTTGGCTTTCCACAGTCTCCTGCACGATCAACTCATATCAACTCCAGGCTTCCAACAGCACTGTCCAGATGATTATTGACTCAGGAATATGAGTCCATTGTCCGAAATTGTACAATCAAATTCATGTAAAAACATCCAGCAATGTAGAAAATTTACATTGCAGAGGAGATCAGCTGTGATAAATTGTCAATGGTTATCCTTCTATTGTTCACCTCATCATTACCAAATTTCGAAAGTGAAAAAAATGCTATTAATTGGCAAAGATTGCAATAATAGCTTGATCAATAATCAATGTAAATTAAGGAACCATGTACTTCCATCAAGTAAAAGCTATTAGGTATATCAGATATTCCCAAAGTAAAAATTGAAAGAGAAAAATAAAAAGAACCAACGGGCCAGTGACCTAGCGGTATCAGCCTCTTACTACCCAAAGAGAGGTCAAGGTTCAAGTCTCAGAAGAGACGTGTGTGTGAGTACCAACTAGGAAGAAGAGAAGGAAAAATAAAAAAAATAATAATAATAATAATAATAACAGCAGTTAATAGCACCATTTGGACAGTTTCAAAAGCACAAACCATGCATCTTTCTTTCCATTAACAAGGATCAAATGAATCCATTTTGGGGTGCAGCAAACTCATAACCATATTGATTAAGCACTACCATAGTTATAAAATCGGTAAACAACTCCGAATGAAGGATGTATATATGACACAAAACTGAAGTGCTTTTTAGCTTCAGGACAAAATGCCAGCTCTCCCAGATGCGAAAGATATAATAGCATATACAGGAAAGACCAAAAACATACAAATGACCCACGAATAACCAGTCGTTACTTTATAAAATGCTTTCATCATTTGTTCACTCTCTTTTCTTTTGTATTTCACCCATCAAGTAATGGGTTGTATTCACCTTTATGAAAAGGTGGGAATGTAATCTAGATGGGCTTACTTCTTTGTCTCCTATTACTTTCTTGAAACCTTGGAGCTGCAGGGTAATAGAAAACAAAATATATCAAGATATATGCAGCATTTAAAGTACAATTACAATGTTAGTTACGCGGTTACATACCAAGTCCATTAGCCTCAGATGTCTTCATGATTCTAAGCCTTTTTACGGAGCTAAGAAACATCCTGAATATGAATCACAAGAGCAATGTGATAGTCAAAACCAAAGGAAATAAGAAAATGACCTCAAGTCAAGATCCCAATAGCAGAAAACCTGAACTTCTAAAAGAAAGCTAAAAAGGTAGTATGAGATGGCAAAACTGGGCAAAACAAAAATCGTGTTCTTTTATTTTCTTCTTCTTCTTTTTACTTTTCTTAGTTCATACCCAGTGGGTGGAATACATCATCCTTTGTTTTTCCTTTTTCAATGTGAAGGTATAAAGCATAGACATTACTAACAGATTAACCTTATTACTTCTTTCCCCCCACTTCAGATTTAGAACAAAAAGATGCATCTTTCCAGGGGAAGAAAGCCTAAAACACACAGAAGTTCACCAAACACTAAAACAGAAAAAAGGAATTATGGGTGAGAGAGGAGGATTCAGAGTGTTTTGCAGTTTAAGGTTTATGACGGCGTGGGGATTGCAGTAAGACGTGAAAAGGTTTGAAATGAAATTCCCTAAGAAATCTCAAGGGTTTGTTTAAAACAACCTATAATATGGTTCGTCCAAGAACTTAGCCGATTGTTGATGTTATCAATTAGTATAATAGTAGTAATAATTATATTTCTGATGAGTTGCTGCTATGTTTTCGTCATAAATCATGTAATTCTTTGTTGATGGGATAATTGAAGTCAGGGATTTGGATCCTGTATAATCAAGGCATTACATTAAGTAGACCAATTATCACCAGCATTAAGCCCTAAGGGGGTTCAGGAAATCAGGTAAAGGAAACAGCCAACCAACAAAATAAAATAAGATTGATTCTGCATTTCCATAGACATGTTTGACTACATGGGTCCTTGAGCACTTCAAGGACACAAATGGAAGTGACATTCTCACCAGTTGGTCTCGTAGGGAAACTTTAATACGAACAAATGGTTTAAGGATGTATATTTGCAAAGCACTAACATATATGGTAACAAATTGCAGTACTATAGATTTACATTCATATTGAGGGGGATGCTAGGGGAAGGAGAAGATCAAAACTAACATGGTTGAGTTAGTAAGGAAAGATATGATAGCATGTGGTTGACTAAGCCTATGGTCGATAGAGCGGAATGGAAAATAGGACTTGTAGTCAACCCCAAGTAGTTGGGAAGAGGCTTTGTTGAGTTGAGCTAACCTAGTTTCATAATGGATAATTAATAATTCCATCCTTTAATACGCAACAATTTTTTGACCAAAAAAAAACCCTATCCTTGACTCCTTATATATATATATATATTTGCAAAATTTGACATGAAATATAATGGATTTTTTATATATGACAGTTTCGGCCGATTAAATTCTAACCAATTAGATGTATGGAATGATTTGTATGTGTCACCAATATTTTACTTAATATTTAAATTAAAGAATATGTTGTTTTTTTTTGTCTTTTTCATTAAAGTAGAGTTTGTAGACATAAGCATATTGTCTGCGAAAATGTTGAACATCTTATTAAATAGATATGTTCTATCCGGTTTTGCTTGCATTTTGAGTTAAAAAGTTTAAGCAAGTCAGAAAAATTTAATGCTTAATAATTTTGTAAGTTGATATATTTAGTGTGTCTATCACGATTATTAACTGTTAGAGAGTCAGACTATAGATTTATTTTAGTTTTAGTGACCAGTTCTGAGTCATTTCCAGACCTTCAATTTTAATATCACTGAATAGAAGAAACAACTTAATACATTGACATATAAAAGTGAACAAAGATATATCTATAATTGGCAAACAGAAACTATCATTAAACTCTCAAAACTGATCTCTTTTTATATCAAATTTGAGATGTTATGAGCATTATACATACAATTTTTTATTTGTTATTCTGTAGCTTTCTTTTACGTCAATATGAATAGTTTGTGTATGTTGTAGGTTTCAGAAAGTTTAAGAGCAAAGTACAATAGTATTCTTTTAGGGAAGAAAATACTTTGACAGATTTGCATTTATATTAAAAGTAAAGAACTAGAACCCAACAAGCAATTCTACCTTCTTCCTACTTTAAAGACCTGCAATGCTACAGATGCATGCAGATAACATCAAATCAGTCTTTCTTGGTAAATCCTACATCACTACTACACATGCAACATTTGCTTTATTATATGGATTAGGACTTGATGTCTAGGTTTGAAACTAAAAAGTATAAAATTATATATGCATATCATGTGATGGCAAACACTGAAGCAAAACATTTTATTATCTATTCAAAAAAAAAATTGATATATTTTGTATAATGTTAATAATCAATGAAGGAAGATATATACCCCCAAGGAACATCTCCAACAAGCATCCAGTCTCCCTCTTTGTCTTCATAGGTGAGCACAAACCCAGATGATCCATCCAATAGTTTTGAGGCTCCAGTTTTTTCTATCATATAGTCCTCCTCTATGCTTGATCCTAGACACACAGATAATATGACGATCATTCACCGAATGGTATAAGCAACAACTACATCAAAGACAAGCTAGAAAACCAAGCTTTTAGGCAATCTTTCTAATTATTTAACTCTCCAACATAAGAGATTAGATTGACCAACTTTCAGAATCAGCCAAAGCTCATAGCATGCCAAAGCTTATACAGAAGATAATAGTGGCATCCTTGAACATGAAAACCCCTATTTCATGGTCACAACTCATGCAAATTATATTTGAATGACCAAGCTTTTGACTGCATAAAATCAATGTTGAATAGCGCCTTTTTTTTTTTTTTTTTTTTTTTTGGGGGGGGGGGGGGGGGGGGGGGGGGGATTTAGAAACATAATGTAATGGAAAGAAAATAAACAATAATCTGAATTAATTTTGAGATCAAGCTAGGAAGGAGAAAAAGTAACTCACGTCTTGCGCTGAGGTTTGATGTTGATTTACAAAACATTTCTTCCAATGTTTGCGCTAAGGTCTCATAGCAGCTATGAGCATTCAGATCTACCTTTCTTCCAATCAGGATTCCATCCATATTCACCTTCACAAACGGGGAAGTCTTGAAGAGTCCTTTTTCCTTACCATTGTTAATGTTCTTTTTGCTGCCATTGTTAGTCATGTCTACCAAACCATCCTTGCTTTTACTTTTCTCAGTTGTTGAGTTAAATTCTTCAGAGGGTGGTGATTTTGTTTGGTTAACCAAGCTGTTCATTCTATAAGCTCTTATAGGAGGCCATCCAACAACCTGATTGCTTCATGCATCAAATTGCAATTTAAAAAAAAAAAGAAAGTCAATCACATTGGATTATCAAATAAATGTCATGTGAATAGACAGTCATCTCAGCAATATAATGTTCCATAAAAAACAAGAAGACCCAACTTGTGGTTTTGTGGATGAAAGAGTATCACTGAGGCTAACGAAGCTAGTGATGGAGTACACATGATTAGATGGTAATCAGGCAAGGGTACCAAGAAAGTACAAGGGTAACAGATGGTCTAAAGATGCCTAAATGATGCCAAAAAAATTGTTAACTATCTAATAGTGTAGTCACAAAGAGAACCAATGCCATAAAAAGGATTGATTTTGAAATTTCCAAAAGGTCTATTATTCGTAATGACATTGACTTCTTGGTATACTCATGGCAGATAATTACCAGAAACATCCCTTAGTTCACAGTTATAAACATTTCAAAGTCACAGGACCAATGCCATGCATAAACAAATTTAAACCCAAAATACAAATTCAAACACTAGTTTCCTATCATTTTTAACAAAGGACCACTAGCATCCATTCTAATATGGAAGGTTATTGAAATATCACTTGATGTTGATTCAAGCACAGATACGGACACGGAGTATGGGTACCACACAATACGGATGCAATGATACGACAAATTTTAAAAAATGGGACACAGCAGGGATACGTAAAATAATAATGATATAATATATTATTATACACACAAAAATGATTTTTGCCGAATGTAATTACTAATTTACAGCTTGAAACTAGATGGATGTTTTTTTTTCCTAAAACTTTATATTACTTTTCTAATTAACTCATAATACGTTTTAACATTACAATTACATTGGAACCTCGTTTTTCAAAAAAACATAATTACAAAACTACCCAACATGTCTTGAAAATGTCCAGACGTGTACCCGTCGTGTCCAAGCAGGAAAAAAAAATTCAAATTCCAAGACACTTCTATCCGTGTCAGACACATCACTGACTGTGTCCCTTGCCTGACCAAGTCGGACACGGCCTCAGTATCCCTAGAGGAGTGTGTGTGCTTCCTAGATGTCTTTAGGGAAGCTAACTTCTACAAAAGCCTGCAAAGCATTGCTTAAATTACATAATTGATGGCATACAAAAGGACAACAAACAAACAATGGAGCTAAGCTCCAACGGTCCAACGAAAACCTCTGGTTGAAATTGACAAGGGAAGTGCAATGACACGAACTACGACATTTGTGTTATGCAAGCACACGTCGTTCATCCATGGTCTAACTCTATTTTGGCTGACACAATTTCCCACAGGGAGCCAAGCCATGAGAACCCCATGTCAAAATGAGGGAAGAATTAGGAAACTTCACAACCAAACAACAATCTTTGCCATCTAAAAGTATCAAGACATTAACCCTAAATTGGAGCAATGGTATAGACACTATACTTGAAGAAATATAAGAGAACCCTCATATCCAAAACAAAACAAAAAAAAAAAAAAATTGTAATAGATTCAGTATTGTCAGAATCAAGTGCCAGGAACTCCAGTCATTTTTTAATATAACATCAGCACCCTTTCATGCACGTGGGCCATTGCAAACTTGAATTGAAGAAAATATTGGGCTCCCTAGGGTACCAATAATGTAGTATCCCCGTCCAATAGTGAGAGATTATTTCTTATTAACAAGACAAATGGTGAACGTCTATTGGACGAGGGTACTACATTGTTGGTACCCCCATTTACCCAATAAATTCTCCTTGAATTGCAAGTAAAGTAATTAACTTATTAGAGAAGAATCATTCCTACTAAATTTTAAAATTGTGATGTTGGAACAAGGGTGCCAACAGTGATGGTGAAAACAGATATTAAACATGAGCAAAACAGCGTCAACAAGGCTTCAATGCACATTACAATACCATTTGTCACCAACAATCTAAATTGGTACCCAAACAGATTTCCACCTCCAAGACAATGAAACCAACAGTTTTTTTATTCAATTGCATCTTGCACATAGCAACCTACAAAGAATGACCACTGATGACCGAGCAACCTCTCATTTTGCAAGTCTGCCTAATATTTAAAGAGACATGGCAAATTCTCTCTCCGAGTTGTCCCCATTTTTTTTGCATTATAACCAAAAGTTTTTCATGTTAATACTGGTTTGTGGTTGTTCTTTTGTCATAGATATTACTAGCTTTTTTTCTAATTTTCCTTTCTTTAAGAGCTAACAAGCTAATCAGGCCTCTATCAGCACCCAACTTATTCCCTTGATACATCACATATACAGTCCCCTGTCCAACATGCATCAGGCAATTATGGGATAAAACTTCTATGTAGTATAGCCCCAGTATAGATGTTTGATATTCCAAACACATTTAGAGTTAAAAAGCAGAGAATAAAGAAAAAAGAACACAAAAAATGAAACAAAAGCACATTTGTTTGAAGCATCAGATTCCTTAAATCCAAAATTGCATAACCAAAAAGTAAAGAATATAATTAAAGCAACCCAATTCAAAATTTAATTGACAGAGTTGAACAAAACTAAAACAACAGAAAAAGACCCAAACAAGGGGGAAAAAGAAAACCCATCCAAAATCATCAAATCAAAGTCACACAAACATAAAATAAATAAATAACACATATATGCACACACATACACCACAGTAAAGAATATTAGCAGAAATTAACAACAAAATAAAAAAAAGGGTATGAATGAATTATTTTACCTGGCACCATTTGCAGGTGATGGCACAGAATCAGCAGCTCTCTTGGTACCAGAAGAGACATTAGCTTTGGTCACAGAAGAAGATGATGAAGATGATGATGAAGAAGAAGAAGCTTTAGTAACCACAGAAGGGAAATCTTTAGCAGTCAATATCCTACCAAACTGACCCCATGGAGTTGGAACTTGTTTAGACTTCAAAACACCACCACCACCACCTAGACTCAACCCAAGACCTAATTGAAGCTCAGACTCATCTGGGTATGATGAAGAAACCTCGGATGAGAAGACCATGTTATCCTCCTTTGACACCGTCGACATTGACCCAGTTGTTGAATTCAGTACCAGTGCCTAATAATCCCAGAAAGTAACAGGAGAGAGAGAGAGAGAGAGAGAGAGAGAGAGACGCTGTTTGGTGGGTGTGAAGATGCAGGAAGGAGAGAAGAAAGGTAATGAGAAGCTGGTGGAAGTAGTGATTAAGTGGGCCCCACCTGTCTGCTTTCCGCGCCTTACTACTCCATCATCCTCCATCCTTTGTCTTTTCCTTCTCCAAGACTCCAACCATCTCATCAATGTCTTGTTTTTTTTTTATATTTTCTTTTCAAGATATTATCCAAATTTGATAAAATGGGCGCAGCACAATTCCTTACTAAAAATGTCCCAAACTCAATTATAGAAGGTGATTGCTTTAGGGTTTGAAATTTCAAATATACTATCTTCATGATTACTATTTTTTTTTACTAATTAAAACTTTATTTTATTTTTTATTTTGAATGTACAAAAATGCAATTCAACTACGGAAAAATAGTTATCAGATTATATTTGGAGTGAGCTTCTTCTCCAAGTTGCATGTATAAACCCATGTATGTCAGATCAATAAAAACGCTGAATTCCAAAATGAAGTGATTGTGATGTTTCACCTCGTCTGGGAGAGAAGTTTATGTCATTTATGTATAGACACAAAAATATGAACACCAGACGAAAAATGTGCAAAACAAACATTTATTACAGCTAGAGTTTATGACGATATCATGTAATTATATTATTAAATTTAGCATCTTAAAATATTTTAATACTTTCGAACATAGCATAAACATATTTTTATATGATTTCAGTGAGTAAGCTAACTAATTTTTGGACTTATATTTTGTTATTCTTAAATAAATTTCCTTTTGAGCCAAAAACACAAATAAATAAATAAAATCCCTTTAGAAAATCACATTTTGGCATAAAAACCGATTTGTGATACCAAATTCTCTGTTGTTGTTGTTGTTGTTGTTGTTGAGGTTGTGGGGGTTGAGGGTCTTTAGATGAAGCAGACCAAGGGACAAAGTAGGTGCAACTGTAATATCTCTCATTATATAGATAGTATAGCATTTATCACGATAATATACGAAAAGTAGGTCTACACTATAGACAAGAAAGAGTGGAGCCTACAAGGACGTGTTCCAAACGACAAGCCGACAAGGGTGGGACCAAAAGTCACAAGTCTCAACACCTTTTGGGTTTGGGTCGGGGACACGTGGAGCGCCAGAAAAGCTATGAAAAGTAGTAATGGAAATGGGAGACCTCAACCATCCTAAGACTTTGTTTGGCTATTTGCCATGGACAGACCGACATTGGAAATATAAACGGATAAGAATTTGATTTTTAGTTTCATGAATATCCCCATTGGAAAAAAAAAAAAAGAAGAAAAAAAAAAAGAAAAAGAAAAGAATATCCCCATTGGATTCCATACTATTTGATGGAGTATAATATATATATTTTAATTTTTAAATTGATAAGTTTTTATTTTATTTTAGAGTTATATTAAGAGTAATTTCAATTGATAAGTTCCTTAAAATAAAATAAAATAAAAAACACTAATTTCAATTTTTAAGAGCATATTAAGAGTATTTTGAAATTCCTTAAAATAAAATAAAAAAACACTAATTTCAATTTTTAAGAGTATATTAAGAGTATTTTGAAATTTTTTATAACAAAAAAAGTGTTGAAAATTGACGGTCAACGTATGGGAGGAAATTTTCACGTGTTGGTGTATAAAAATATGCAAAAAAATAACACCATTACAGTTTAATATGTGTATATAAATACCTAATATTTGGAAATATGTGACCTTTCAAAAAAACAATATGGGAGGAAATTTTCACATATTTTCAAATATTAGGTATTTATATACACATATTAAACTGTAAAGGTGTTTTTTTTTTTTTTTTTTTCCTTTCTCTAGCAGCTTGGACCCCATGAGTTTGGCGTAAGGGTAACGTTGAAAAAATAAATAAATAAATAAACTAATTTGAAAATAAATTGGTAAAAGTATGATTTATTTGTACTAATTATTATTATTATTATTATTATTATTATTTTTAAGATTTGATTGTCTTTCAGCTCCAAAAGTAAGATTATGAAAGAATTTTCCCAATTTTATTTTATTTTTTCCTATATGAGAGACGTTTTTTTTTTCTTCAAACCTTACATGAGCTTAGAGAAAAAAACTATTGGATATATCCAAATCCATAAGTTTCAATAAATTTACTCCTCCAAAGAGTGGATTATATTTATATGCAGAATATATATTATCTCCCGACTCCCTAGCCTATATATCATCATTATTTTCTTATATTTTGCATTAATAATCAATAAAATATATTATGTTAGTAAATTCAGTCGAGTACACACCCTTCTAATTTGATCCTTTCAATCAATCATTGAAGGATGGTGATTCTCTCACTCTCAAGTGGTTTCCATTTTGAAATCTATCAGAAGAAATAAAGGGTAGAAACTGAGGCCTAATAATGACTTGTGGTTTTGTTCCTCTCCAATTGTCAAATGTAAATAGGAATCAGAAAAATAAATAATACTCACACTACACAATTTATACTCCAATTACAATGATTATGTATCTAATATAAGGAGATTTATATTCTATTAATTATGTCTTAATATGCTAAAGCATTTCAAACAAGTGCAAAAAAGTATATGACTTTACAAATAAGTTAATTATGGCCGGTTCTCTATGTTTTAACTATTATTTGAGTTGTTCTAAGCGTAATACGGAATAAAAAAAGGGACATATATATATATATATATATATATATATATATATATTTCATGATGGTGGTATCAGGGATGATGGTATTAAACCTCTTCGAACACTCCATAACCGACACATAGAGCCCCATCCCACATGCTCGGACAATCACGGACCATTATATCATGCTTTCCAAGACTATATTTTTCATTTCGAATCAATCCAAGTCCAATATCTATTTCAAACCAAACAATATAATTTTCATTTCGAATCAAATCCATATCCAATATCTATTTCAAACCAAATAATATAATTTTCATTTCGAATCAAATCCAAATCCACTACCTATTTCAAACAACAGCAATCCCATTTTCAAAGCAATCCCATTTTCAAATTCACATCCTGTCACATCCTGTTGTTAGGAACGCTTTCACATTTCAATAAAATGTGCCTTTACTACTATTATTAATTAAATTATTGTCATTCCAATCATAATAGTAATAACAGCAATCTCAAATGTCAAATATACATGTCCACAAATCATGTCACTTACCATTTCCTACTCTGTAATTGTACAAAAACTCGCAAAAAATTTATTTAAGATATTAAATCAAATATGGAGCTTCTCCGAAAAAATTTATGATGTTGGAAGACCAAAAACTGTTTGAGGCAAAAGAGAATAAATGAATCAAACACTCTTTATATGCTAACAAGGTTGAACTTTCACTTCTCCTTTGGAATCCGATTCTTGGGACCTGCAGTCAGTGCATGGCTTGCAAGCTGGAGTAGGGAAGTCAGAGAGACTGATCCGTAGTGTTTGCTGCTTATCGTCATTTGCAGGAACATGGACGAGAGCATCCATAACAAGGATTTCCCAGTCACGTGGTCGGAAAAATGTAAACCAGGTGTCATCTGTGAACAAAAGAAGATCTCTTGATTATAAAAAACAATGAAGCGAATAATGAATGTAGGCTTAGGATAGAATTTTTAACTACGTTGCCCCTCCAACAAATCCCCGTTCCCCTACTTATTCCCAAGTTCTACAAAAATACTGGTCATCTTTTCATAGACCAAGGATTATGCATTGGACAAATTCCAATCAATCTCTGGATCTATTAATTTTGAAAATGTTGGTTAAGGTTCGTACAAACACAAACACACACACATACACAATTATTTAGCAAGTGCTAGAAAATTAAAAATAATAAAGACGAAGAGAGAAGGAAGAAACCAAATACAAATCCGAAGTATGATACAAACCTCCACTATGAACAGCCTTCAACTGAAAGATTCCAGTTCCTTGTGGTCCAGAAATGGGGAATTTGCAGGATACAGATTGCCTCTTGAGAGCAACAGCAAGTGATGCATTGTACCAAGGACCTTTCACAATAGGCTCCCCAATAGCATCAATAAGTGCCTGGTTTTTACTGGCTTTCTCCATGGCCTTGCTGAAAGAATTTCCACAACAATGAATGGAAGTAGAACATATATGCAAAACATGGTATTCGAATGTAAATTTCACATACCCTGTTACAACAATAAATTATGAGACATTCAAGATGAATCAAGTTCTTTATGTTTTCAAACCTTCAGTTATCAATAGATGAGAGATCATAAAAGATTATCTCTGAGAGATGTAAGTGTACTAATTTCAAACTTTTGCCTCCCCCTCCCCCTCCCCCACCCCCTTCAGCACACAAAAGCAAGCTCTTGGATCTCAACACCAGATCTAATGGGCAGCTATAGGCTAAAAGCCAAAACTTAAAGAGTCTAGCTCTATAAAATTAAGCACACTACACTTTTTCATCTTACACTAGCTGTTAGCTTGACTGATATGGTAAATTCAAACTGCTACCAGTGCGGGAGATACAAGGTTCAAGTACTAGTTAAGACACATGCATGTGTATTAACCAGAGAGAGAGAGAGAGAAACTCATGCCATGGATCACAATATGATCCTCAAAATATAATGGTAAATAAGGATTTGTGTACCCAAGCCCAAATAGTAGGGAGCCAGAGATAAGGCTCATACATGTATGAGTCTGGGCAAGTGTGAAAATTAATTACTCAACATGTCTTGTGCTCGGTTCCCCTTTTCTTTCTCAAATGGAATTTTTCTAAGAGGGCAAAAACTAATAACAGTCACAAAACTCTCATCCATGTTGAGTATATTATAATGAAGCTCTCTATCTCTCTGAATTGCAAATGAAAAAAAAAAAATTAATAAAACAAAGATGCTAGTTTCACTTTGAGATAATTTTATACTCATGGCAAGAAACTTCGATCTCAAGCCTTTATGGTAGTGCCTGGCTCCGTGGCTGCCCAGAATCTCAAGGTTTTATCTCAAGACTTTATGGTAGTTCCTGGCTGCGTGGCTGCCCAGGCTCTCGAGGATGTTCTAAAACCTCAGTCACCTTTCTGGACATGGATGTTACGTTCTATAGTTTTTATTGTAATAGTTTCAATAAATAAATAGGGAATCACTTAATGTAACAAAACTTTATAATGTGCTGCAACTCAAGGTTAGGCCTGGGTTTGGAAAGAGAAGAAGATCTCAGCAAAAGAGATGAGAACTTTAGTTCAGGTAGCAAATTAATTATAATAGCCAATTTCAAAGTTCAATAAGAAAAATCTGCAAACGGTAAGAATCAAAAGGCTCACATGGAACTGCAACTCAAGTTTAGGTGTGGGTTTGAAAAGAGGAGAACATCTCAGCAAAATAGATGAGTACTTTAGTTCATGTAGCAATTTAATTATAATAGCCAATTTAAAAGTTCAAGAAGAAAAATCTGCGAACAATAAGAAACAAAAGGCTCACATGTAATAAAGAAACTTCGAAATAATGAAGGAAGTTTTCTCACAAGGAAAAAAGGCAATGTGATATAAATGATAAAAAAAGCATCACCTTCTCATAATTCCTAATGAAGTTCAAATCCATCATATCATGGAAAATTCCTTGGCTATAAGAACTGCTATTTAATGCCATCACATATAATTGCTTACATGCTATGTTCAGAGTTCAGATTACTAATCCAAAAATTATACTTCATTATATTTAGTAGTTTCCAATGTCCTGAAGCCATTAAATACATGAAAATCCAAAAAGTGCCTGAGAAGATTCTACAGACCTCCGATCAAATTAGCCATGTTTTGATTGATTTATGTCAAGTCTATTACCATAAATTGTTCTTGATATCCCAGTCTTCGTTTAAAGCGATGCTTATTTTAAAATTACTAATCACGTGTTAGCCATGAAGTCAGGTGGCTGTGGAGATTTGGTAGCAAAAGGCATCATTTATGGGGGAGGGTTATTTCATGCCGCTTTGGGAAGGAGAGAGGGGGATGGTCTTCAGAACCGGTTAGATATGTTGTTGGCATCGGAGTGTGGAAGTGCATTCGGAAGGGTTGGGATGAGTTCTCTAAACATATTAGGTTCAAAGTTCAGGAGGGCAAGGATGTCCGGTTCTGGGAGGATTCTTGGTGTGACAACCACCCATTGTCTTGTTTGTTCCCAAGACTTGTTAGGATAGCTGTGGATAGACATGCTATGGTAGCATACTGTTATCGGCTTCATAGCAGTAGGCTTACGTGAGATGTGCGTTTTCGGCGGCTTTCAGGATTGGGAACTTGATGATGTTTCTGGCCTGCTGGATTTGTTGTATAGACAGGAGGTGGATGGTAGACGGTCTGATTCTTTGATTTGGTGCCATCTCCTCATAGGAGTTTTTAGGTCCGTTCTTTATTTTTCTGCCTTGCCTGGTTTCATGGATCCATTTTCCCGTGGAAGACGGTGTGGCGTTCAAAGGCTCCTCTCAAAGTGGCGTTCTTTGCCTGGACTGCAGTTTGGGGCAAAATTTTAACCTTGGATAATTTGAGAAAGAGAAGCCATATCACAGTCAACTGGTGTTGTTTGTGTAAGAATGATGAAGAGTCTGTGGATCACAATCTTTTGCATTGCCCTGTGGTTTATGCCTGCTGACAGCATTTAGTGGGTCATGCCTCGATCCTTGAGGGATTTGATTGACGATTGGAGAGGCTTTTAGTGTGGGGGCCCACGCCCGGGACTTTTGGGGGGCATCTCCCCTTGTGTTTGGTGGTATATTTGGAAGGAGCGGAATATAAGATCTTTTGAGGGGGAAGAATCTTCTATTGGGGTGCTGTAATTTACTATTATTAGTTCTATTTTTAGTTGGGTGATGGGGAAAAATTGTAAATCTTTAGATGACATCATAGATTTTTTGGGTTCCTTGGGTCCCTAGGACCTTTCTTTGTACAGCTTTTGGAATCCGTTCCCAGTTTGAACGCTCTCTAATATACTCTTTATTTATCCAAAAAAAAAAATAATTATTTGTTGATGTTCTCGATTACCACACCATAGTACAATAGAGAGTGAAAGGAAGGCGAAGAGGTTTCACTAATACTTGGGGGTTAAAAACCATAACTACATAAGTGATTTATTATTTGGACTTATTGTTGATGTACAACGCAAACATTTGATTTATTTTCTCATATGAACATGTACACCATGACATATACCCCATACTCTCATAGACATCAGCCTCACAAGTTATTGTCTACTGTGATTTAAAGCAAAAAATAAATAAGAGAATCACTACTCCTAATGTTGGCCCCACAACACAAGGTGCAAGAAAGCTGGACTAGAGTCCTAGAAATAGACCTAATCATTGGATAATTGTATAAAGTAACTGCTCTTGAGATCAAACTTGCATGCATTCTCAAACCAGGCAGTTTGAGCTTTTACCAATGCGCAAAGCAATGACAACTTTAATTATGAAAAATGTAGAAAAATTATAATTTTCACCATATGAGATAATACAACTTACTAGACTGACAAGTAATGACACAGTGACGATTCAAAACATACAAAACCTTTTACTAATCTTCCAACTCAAACATCACCCATAACAAGCCTAAAATTAAAGAATAGCATCCGCTTGTAAATGTATGGATACATAGATAATATCATAAACCCGGTTTATTTGTTGATTCCTTTTATTCTTTACCATATTTAAAAGCCATGCTCAAAGATTAAGGAAAATAATCACCAATACAAGAAGTCTAGCATATGTCCTAAACAACAATTATCAAATTTTTTCATTTTTCCCAAGCAACAATTGTCAATTAGATCCAAATAAAGTATGTGAGCACACAGACGAGCAACAATTGTCAATTAGATCCAAATAAGTATGTGAGCACACAGACAGCTAAATTTGTGTGTTCACAATATCATTTCCTTTGAAATCTTACATAAAGGTGTACAAAAGTGAGAAAGCCGAATATATCAATCGTTTAACCAAAGTAGTATGGCATCAATGAAATGCATCAAATCAAATTCCCATTCTAGCAAACAATTACAAGATCTTATGTTCTTTTTGTCATAAACACGGCTCTCAAAAAATAGCAGCGTACCTGCTACAACCATGATAAATGGCAAGGTCATCAAGGGCACTCAAAGCAACACCACCTGTAAGGCAAAGCAAGGAGGCTGATACCACCTTACGAGCCCACGATTTGGTCCTTGACTCCTCCATTGGCTTCATCGAACTGCTTATGAGAAGCAATAATCATGGTGCGTGAGATTCAGCTCATTTTAACTCATAACTCATATCAAATGGTCAGGAAAACAACAATACTTAACCAACAAAAAACTACAATACCAATGCAACAGTTTTGTGTCCTTATTCTCATTTGATTATAAGCTTGAAGAGAACACAATAGGGCTTACCCTGAGACATCCGATGCTGGAGTGCTCTTCAGGAAGGAGATTATTCTTCTCCCTATCATCCCTCTGCTTTGCTCCCTAAAGAACCTAGTCACCAAAATGGCTTCGTCCCCTTCGAAAGTACTACAGTAAACTACGCCCAGCTACACCCGTTTTGCGACTCTGCAAGTAAAATGGTACGCACTGACTGAATTGTTACTGAAAGTTGAGTGAACACACACAACTTATGTAAAAAAAAAAAAAAAATCCTTTTCTTAACTTTGTTCCTGATCAATTAAATTCTCTGTTTGAGATTTTCTTTCAAGTACTCCTTTAACGTTCCTGACTGCTCAAAAATTCTTTCAATATACCCAGAAAATATAATAGCAAATATGTTCCTCCTTTCTTACAATCATTTGGGTCATTTGAGAAGCAGGGTAAAGAAGGTCAAAATTATTAGCGTAAAGGTGTAGGTTAAATTAAGTCTAGTGAACTCATTAGAATCAAGAGAACTTTATCGATTCATAGAGAATGTTCGAACTACCATTAGAACCAAAACCAATTTGTGTTGATCGATTGTCGACAAACTAGAAAAATAGCCCACGTGTTACAGCCAAAAATCCAAAAAATAAATAGAAATATATGGAATTGGAGAACAATACATACCTAGGGTTCGGTTTTCCCTTTCTTCGCCGTTCGTTGGTGAAGATCGTCTTCTCTGATCTTTGGTTGCACACTGTGCTGGTGATATGTTTGTGTGTGTACAACCATACCCTCCAGCCAAGACAATCAAAAATAAATGGAAGTATTATTTGACATCAACAAACTTTGAGGTTTATTATTTTAAGGTTAAATTCCATTTCTCCTTTGTATTTTGAAAAAAATTACATATGAATATAGCTTTTGACCAATATTATTTTAATTTTTTCTAAAAATATGAAATATCTTTCATACTCTTATTTAATTTAATAAAATCAAACAATTAAAAAAATATTTTAGTAAAATATAAAATTAATATGAAAATTAATATTTTACATTTCAATGACATTTCTTATATTTTTATCATTTTATATCAAAATAAGAAATTATTAAAGTCTTTTAATGTAAGGAAATTACAACTTAGTCATTATAAACTCATACAAAAGGGAGAAAAAAAAACTTTTTACACATGTATACAAGGAGAATGACAATCTTTGTAAAGGATTTTCCATTTTTTTTTTTATTTCTTCATATTATATTCTTCCTAAAATATTTATTTCCTTCCTATTATCACTCCAACTAATATAAAGGCCCCAAAATTTGTATATCCTTATATTATAACTTTCAATTTTTTTTATTTGTTTATATTATAACTTTCTTAAAAATGTTAATTCCTTCTTATTATTAAACTTTGCCCAATAGAAACCCCCAAATTTTTTTTTCCTTATATTATAACCTCCTTAAAAAATTTATTTATATCAATTGTTAGACCTTAACCAATAGAGATTTAATAGGGGCAAAAAAAATTTCTATCTTTATCTTACCTCTTTTTTTTTCTCTCTCTCATCCTCGTTTCTTTTTTCTCCAGAATTTTCCATATTCTTATTTTAACTTTTTTTACTTCTTATTTCTTCATTTTTCATTAAATATAAGTTGTATAACTCTAAGATCAATTATCTGACAAGAAAGATTAATTGGATTGACTATATATACATTAAATATTAAAAGACCATTTTTATATTTTTTGCTTAAAGCCTCAAATTATATTGAGCCGCCCCTACTATATATGAATTATGAAGATGCAAGAAAATGGTTCTCTATATTAAGAAAGGATTTTCTTACACTCCAAATAGAATTCCTTTACATTCTCTATCTCCTCCTCTTTATAGAAGTCTACCTTTGCCCTAAAATTCATGGGGGGGGGGGGGGGGGGGTTTGTTTCCTCTTAGGCTGTTCCACCACAAAGATAGGCCCGATACCAAAAATGAAGGGACTAGGCAATCATTGGAATTTCTTTTCAAATGGGTGGGCTGGGCCTGATTCGGCCCAGTAAAATTTTATGCCCCTTCAATATATATATACTTTTAAAATTTTATTAGATTGATCTGAATTTTCTTATGTTTTTAAAATTGCATCCATTTGTTTGCAATATTTACGTGCATATGCTTTGTTCTAACAATGGAGAGATGTAATTTATTAAAGGTGGTTTCCCTCGAGTCTGTCTTTGGGTATTTCATCACTTGAGGTGACAATTACTTTTCAATGGTTTTCACATGATTTAATGATTTTAATTTTCAATCCTTTGGTAAGATGTTAATGGAGAAATTATAGTCTACACGGCTTTAAAATTTTCACCTTAAGACTTCCACTTGCATTGAACAGGAGCTGGCCCTGAAAGAGAGAGAGAAAGAGAGGTTATGACAATAGGGATGAAGTGGGGGGTGGCAGTGGCAATGGCAGTGGCAGTGGCAGTGGCAGTGAGGTATGTATACATAAATGGGGTGGTGTGGAGGGAAAAATCCCCTTCTAATAAGAGTCGTCCACGTCACCACAATAAATAATTACATTTTTGATCTTTCGATAGATTACAGAAGCCTAGCACTGGTCAAGCCTAAGTTAAGTCACTATTAGCCCAAGGTCGCTGATGTTGAACTTACAGCCCGTTAACAAGATCAGTCGGTCCAAGTTGTATTCAGCCCAAATTCATTAAAGATGGAACAAGTCCTACTAATCAAGGGATCCTACATAGAAAAAAAGTTTTATAAAAGAAAAGCCTGGCATGGAAAGAATTATGAAAAAGAAATAACTCTATATGTAAAGAATAATATATATGAAATGAATTGGAGGACAAGTAAGGCGAGTCCTACCATAATTTTACCATATTTTTGTATATAAATAGAGGCATAGACCTCCAATAAAGATCATCGAGCAATATACGCTTTTCTTTAAATAATTCTTGTTAATTGTTATTTTTCTTGAGTGAGTTGTATTTTTTCTTTTAACTCTTTTAATTAAGTGAATTTTTCCACCTACACTTTGACACTGTCTGTGGGAAGCATATAGAAATATACTCCCACGAGTGATTCAAATCTTTTATGTTACTACGATCTGGAAAGTCAATTGGAGGATCTGCAGCAGCAGCTGAATAACAGATGGAGTTAATGCAAAAGATGCGAGAAGAGTTCTTGCATCAATTCAAAACGCTTCGTCAAGCGAACGAGGCCAACACGACTCAGATTACATTGCTTCAGCAGAGGAGCAATGCTCTCCAAGCAACTATGGCGCAGATAGCACCGCACCACCACCAGGTGATGCAGCGGGACCTCCCCCCAACCACAATATTCCTCCTATTAACGAACCTCAAGCCAATGAGGTTCAGCCCAACGAGGTTCGTCCTAACGAGGTTCAGCAAGAGTAGAGGACGAGAACCGAGGTGGTCGCTTCGGGCAATCAACCTCATCACGCGCAAGACGAATAGGCTGAATCCAGCCGTAAGCTCACAGTGTGGACCAATGGCATTCCGGATGGCGTTGGTGTCCAGGAAGCCTTTGATGAGAAGAAGCTTCTGAGGATTCAGACGCCCGCCGAGATGGCCAGAGAGCATAAGGCCTCTATGGTGAAGACTCCATTCACTGATCATATATACTATGTTGACAGACCTAAGAAATTCACTATGCCTTCCTTCACTTAATTTGACGGCATAGGAGATCTTTCTAGTCACCTCGATCACTATTCGCAGAAGATGGCTCTAGACAATCACAACGATGCATTCATGTGTAAAGTCTTCCCAACTAGTCTAACGGGAGCCGCATTGGAATGGTTCAAGAATGGCCGCACAAGTCCATTCCGAACTATGAAAGTTTATGCACTATGTTCTTAGAACAATATTGCGGGAACAAGAAACAGAGAAGACCATCGCTAGTTTCTTTACTATAAGGCAAAAGAGAGGAGAAACGTTATAGGATTTTCTGTCCAGGTTTAACACGGAGGCCTCGGAGATAGCAGATTGTCATCCTGAGACTGCTATAGAAACATTCAAGATCGGTATGATCCAGGGAACCAAGTTCCATACCTCCCTAGTCAAATATTCCCCTCCGGATATGCAAACTCTCAATGCTAGGGCACAAATTTACATTCAACTTGAAGAGAATATAGCCCATCGAGCACAACATGCCACCCTCGTCACAGTAACAAATAAGCCTCGGGAAAAAGCTTCAAGTTCAAAAAATCAAAGAAGCCAATATACCTCAGCACCAGTCGCCCAGATACCCGAGAAAAGACAAAGGACCAAGGAGAGGTTCACACCTCTTCGTACCATACTGGCTTGGTTATTCCAAGAGAACAAAACAAGATTTACAGCTCCTCAACCAATGAGGCAGCCCTTGAAGCAAAGGGATAAAAGCAAACACTGTGTCTATCATAGGGATTATGGGCATACAACCAACGATTGCAGATCCGTTAGGCGGCAGGTGGAAAACATGATAACCAGAGGAGATCTGGCAGATTATCTCGCACCAAAAGAGTATGCAAGGCTAAGGGAGGTCAATCCTCGGAAAGTAGAAGGGAATTAAGTGAAGGTCATTCATGCAATATATGGGAGTCAGAGGAAGACTAAGAGTCAGAAGAGGTGTATCATTCCAGGCTAAGGGCAGCCCATAAGCTAAGGAAGTTGTCCTTAGTAAACACTGTTGCTTCGAGCAGTATTAATATTGGGTTCAGAGATAGAGATTTATCCAGAGTTCAGCTTCCCTACGAAGATCCACTTGTCATCAGTCTTCTGGTAGCAAATTGCATGATCAAAAGAGTCTTAGTAGACCCAGGTAGCAGCGATAATATTATAACAAAGGCAGTTTTTGAACAGTTGAAGATCCCATCATCATCAATTCAGCCCACCTCCAGTCCTTTGATAGGGTTCGATGGGATAAAGGTGGACCCTATTGGGGTAATCGATTATCAGTCACTGCGGCGAAAAGGACATTGAAAGAAAACTTTATTCTGACATAAATTTATCCTTCCTACAGCCTCGTTATAGGAAGAGGTTGGATCCACCGAATGAATGGAGTCCCATTTACCCTCCATCAGGTGATGCGATGCTTATCTCCAGACGGAAAAGAAGTCATTAATCTTTGGGGAGATCAAGTTACTACAAAAGAATGCTACATGCTGACATTGAATGAAGCAAAGAAGGGGACTAAGATGTCTAAACCAGATGTGATCCCCAAAGATACTTTTAAATTGCAATTACAGAATCCTTTGCACAAGTATTTGGAAGCAGAGGAGGAAGTTGAAGCTACAAAACCCACCGAGGAATCTCTCGAAGCCGTCGAAGTTGTCCTCGACGATCCCTAAAAAATCACTTATATGGGCTCTTCCCCCACAGCCGAAGAGAAGGGAGTATTAATCGATGTCATTCGAAGGAATGCAGACGCGTTTGCCTGGGATCATTCAAAAATGCTGGGAATCAGCCCTTCGATCTCATGCCATAGTCTGAAAGTGGATCCTTCATTCAAGTTGGTTAAGTAAAGACACAAAAGGTTCACTCCTGAGCGCAATCGAATCATTGCTGAAGAAGTAGGCAAGTTGTTTCAAGCAGGTTTCATCCGAGAAGTGCATTACCCATAATGGCTCTCGAACGTAGTAGTGGTTCAAAAGAAGAATGGAAAATGGAAGGTTGGTATAGATTTTACCAATCTCAACAAGGCTTGCCCCAAGGATAGTTTTCCACTACCTAAGATAGATCAGATGGTTGACGCTACCATTGGTTATGAGAGACTTATATTCCTTGATGTGTATTCCGGATATAATTAGATCCCTATGAATCCAGAGGATGAAGAA